CGCGCTATAAATTATTCTTCATATTTGCGTCCCGAGAAGTTAAGAAAACGCGATCGCGTACGTCACGTGCGTCGGATGTCGCATTACGTAAGAATCATCTATGACCGTGAAACATCTCGAGACCAGAAGACCGAGGTCTGTCCTTACCTTCGTACCGTAGAGCATCGCGACTTTCGAGGCGACCGACCGTTCGCGAGCGCCACTTTCTCGCCGCGCCGGCTCGCTCGAGACGTCTTTAACAACGTCTCCGCTAAAAGCGAGCAGACACGTAGGCGATGCGAGGTGTCGTCCGATTGTTTATGTATGCGTGAACCGCACGCTGATACCTGTCGACGTGTAGATTTACGAACGACGCGATATACGCGTCATTCGCTCGTGCATTTCATTTTCTCTTTATTTTTTTTATTTTTTTATTTTTTTTATTTTTTTTTCTTTTTGATACTGTGACCCGTTTCGTGTTATCGAATTTCATGTTATTTCACTTCCGATCTCGTTCGAGTCAGTGAGTTTCGAAAAAAGGGTCATGTATTCGGCCGATACATATTTACGCACATTTTTAAATCGACTTATTTTGTTTGTCTTAAGTTTTAAATCGTTGCTCGCGAAATATCGGAAAATTGCACTGTGTAAAAAAAGTCTTTCAAACCTGCATCGAATAATTCTGCATTAAATAATTTAGAATCGATAAATTTAATGTAAAATTTTCACATTCTAGTTTAAATATAACTAAAACAAAACTAATGTATTGTTTTGTAAGTTTTTTTTTAAACATATCTTGAGTTTTCCTCCCGGAAATTGTTTACAGTCGCGCAGCAGCAACATTTGCTTTGTAATTTTTCTATTTTGCAAACAGGCAATTTCGGAATTTGACTTATGCAATTGTCGATATATCGTCGAGAAATCGCGCACCGCAAATCCTACACCGCATAGAAATCGCTTGTTGGCCGTTCGCAGCGCGAAATTCGTTTCGTTCGCAGGGCCTGCTTGCTTGCTTGCGAGATCGCGCGCGCGATGCTAAAGGTGATGTGAAACTCGAGACGAGAGCCGGCAAGATGTCGAAAGGAAGAGAGGCGCGAGAGAAAGAGGCGAAAAGCAAGGGAACAAGCGGATAGATGTCACGTTCGTAAATCTATCTGAGAAAGGATGCAGAAGCGAGGAGGCGGGCGGGGAAGAGCGAAAAACGAAAGGTAGAGCACGTGTTTGCCATTCGCTTAACCATCCGCCGCCGCGCGGATTACCAGCTCGTGTGCATTCCGGTTGCAACTTTTCCACGCTTGCATTATTTATATTAGCAAAGCGAAGACACACTCATGACACCCGCAAACGAAAAGCGTGCTGCAAGGATTGAGCCAGCGAATTCCCGCGGCCGGCCTCCTTCCGATCGGCTCGTAAAATCGGTCGGCTTCAAGTGCATCCGTCGTTAAACATCCTGGTTTGACGCACTCGACCGTCTTATCGATGGCATGACGCAATGGCAGCGCATCAAAACGAGAATAGCTGCACGTATGCGATGTATCGGGCACAGTTTTTTATTAAGTTTTATTTTTCAATTTTCACGGGCTTGATGCACATATACGTTAAACCTATTGCTTGCGCGTTACACAGTTGAGGCAATTTAATTTAATTAATTTTAATAAAAAAATAAAATAAATCATTTGACAGTAAATTTACTATAAAGTTGAACTTTTTCTATTAATTTATAACTCGCAGCTTTTATTTTATAGTCAAGTTTAAATAAATGTATGGCTAAATATATGGCTATCGATGTGAGACGTTAGGCAGACACGATTTCATTCGCGAAGGATGATCGCCGATTAATATCGTTAACTAATCGCAGTCATTATCATCAAGAAAATACATTGCGCAGCTGTGCAATTTGTTGGCGCGGCTGTGATTGCGAGTAATCGGGACGCGCATTCCGATCGTGTGTTCGTGATAGACGTGTTTCGACTGATATTTAGGGTGTGTATAAGTTTCTCATGTGCGATGCAATTGGAATTAATAGCTAGAACCAGGCTTTTCTGTTGCACATACAGACAGATGATATAACGATGTGTACACGTGCGCGAAGTAGAGAAATTTATTTCGCCCGTTGGCAACAAACATGCATACGCGCGAATGAGTTGCGAGGAATACATAGAGTATACACATAGCAAAATTGCGAAGCGCCGCTATTAATTTTCGACTTAGTTCTGACCGCAATATTTTATAAATAAATATAAATAAATAAATATATTTTGAACTTATTTTATTTTATTAAATAAATAATTAATTGGTTTACTTTTTTACAATTTTTATAACTTATGGTTTAGTATTTGTAATTTAATAATGATTTTATAATTAAAAAAATTTTTTTGTTTTAGTTTTTAATTTAACCTTTCAAACGAACAGATCTAAAAAATGACGAGTTTCAATGTATCTTTTGGAACGTTTTTCGAAGAATGCATTTTTCTAGCGCTTAACTTTGACATGCAATATTAAATAAAAAAAGATTATCAAATACTGTTTAATAGTTGCTGAGATATACACGTTCGAAAGAAAAGGAAGCAACTTTTTTCAAGAAATCAGATTTTTTCATTAAAATAATTATCATTATTTTTGTAATTAAGACTTTTTCAAAACTCAGCTTCGGTTTTGCAAAAACTTGCTTATAATTTGAGATGAAACATTGTTACAATTGTTGTGTACAATTAAAAGTAAGACGAAAAAAAACAAAATAGAAAATATTTTTTTATAGTTTTGCAGCTCATTTTGTACATTCTCTTTACATAACATTCTCTTCGGATTTCGAAGCAAAATCGAAATGTTTGTTGTAAATCGCTGTAAATGTACATAGATTTTAGTAAAATATCATAAAATTGTGAAAAAAATTACTTAATGTATAAAAAGTGCTGAAGCTGGAAAAAAATGTACTTATTTTTCGAAAAATCAACGTCTCGAACAGGCCTGGATCTGTCAGATCTTTTTCACACTTCACAATTAAACATTTGCAAAGCAATTGACGCTGTCCTTTACGTTGTCTAAGGCCCTAAAGTTTTTTTACAAGGCTCTCAAATGTCGCTCTAAACTAATATCTATCTAGAATATATCGGTTTGTAACTTTTGGATAGGTCTGGGAGATCTATATCTGTCTGTGAAGGGTAATCAGATCCCAGTATACTGAATCCAATTCAACTCGGATCTTCGAGACTTATCAGTTTCTCATGTTTGCGGTTTCGAGACGTGACAGTTCGAGATTGAAAAATTATTACAAGTCTAAAGAATATACATACTTATACGAAAACACAGAAGATAGTGAAACAATGGAAAAGTGCAATGAAGTGAAAGAAAAGTCGGGCGCAAAGCATCCCTATTGCGAGAATTTTAGAGGAAAAAACGGAGATGAGAGAGAGAGAAAGAGAGAGTGTGTGTGTGTGTGTTAACGATTCACTTTACTATGTGCTGCATGACTCGCATATTTTTAACGCATCGACCTGTGTGTATATCGTAAGTGTGTATATCATGGCTCTCTTGAACTCCTAGTTACTTAAGGCCACGACTTTTCGCTTAGAACGACTTAGCGCGCGCAGTTCAATGACCTCGTGCAAAACGAGCCTCTCTCCATTTCCCTTTCTCTAACTTGTACATGACCGAGTTCTCTCTCTCTCTCTCTCTCTCTCTCTCTCTCTCTCTCTCTCTTTTTTTATCTCCCTTCGTCTCTTTCTTCTCCTACAATAGATAATTATCACGGAGAGTGTGATAGTAAAAAGATCTTTTTCTAACTTTTTTTTTCGTATGCGTCTCATATGTTGTGTCTATTATAATATTTGGTTTGCTAAACAACGGACTCATAAAAAAAAAAATTCCGGAACAGAATGGAACAATTCTTGTCACATCTTGTCCAAAAATACGCGTGGGCGAGTGACCCTATAAGCATTTTCGTGCGACTCTGCTAATTTCAGGCCAAATGTACTACGAGAAGGAAGGTTTAAAGAAAAAAAAGCACAAGCGCAGACTGCAGTACAGTCGCTCAGCAAAAGAAAAAGTAGCGCGTAACGATACACACACGCGAGCGTAATAAGTATAGATGACGGATTCCTATTACGTTATTTTTGAGCTTCCAAGCGTATATTTTTACACGCGAAAAAGAAACAAAGGACCTATCGCAATTAATTATGTCTCCGATATAATCAATATCGATCTTCTCTTTTCTCACGTTAAAAGTTAAGATTTCACAAAATTTTTATTGCACAAAAACTCCGCGCGTTCACAAAACATATGCGAATACATTACTGTTGATTTATTAAATTTATATATCGACACGTTTTTGCTGAATCTCATGTCATCTTTCTCGTTCTTCTCGCGAGACTCTGTAAACTCGTAAAGTTTGAGAAATTTTGCACCTTGTGATCGATGAAAAAAAAAAAAAAACAAAATAAAGTATTTCACAACGATATAAAAGTTCGAAGCGAATTGTGAATACTCGGCGTATCTACTACGCCAACAGTCAGCGGCGGCGGCTAACATCTTGACAGCACATCTGCGCTTGTAAACATCAGCGTCTTTGCGTATCTAGGATAAAACGTGACTACGTTAAGTTGGAAGGTTTTAAATGTGAACACGCGCGCGCGCGCGACGCATGTATTATCGATGAACGCGAATGAATATGCGTGCGGTTGGCGTACAACATACCGAGCGCGTTACGTTATATCCAAGGCGTCAAATTGCGCCTCATTCGTCGATGATGGCAAACGGAAGTGCGTCAGCGTAATACGTAGACACGAGAGCTTGTAGTCGCGCTTCGTAATAAAAATGATGTAATATATATGTCTCGTCTATATATATATATATATATATACATATATATACATATAAATCTGGTAGAAAAAAAACCGACTGAAAATTTTGGAGTTTATTTTTTTTTTTCCAAGATTTCGCGAATATAATTTCTTAATAAGATTATCGAATAATAGCAATAATCGATATTAATCGAGCGATTCTTTTTTTCGTGTTTGTTTCAGAATGCACCTTCGGCAAGCACATACGCGAACTGGGATCGATGTGGTTCGCGGATCTGGGACCGCCCTTCGGTGTCATGTACTGCATCAAATGCGAGTGCATACCGGTAATTATCTGTCGTTATTTATCTCACAACAAAAAAATACCTAATAATAATTAAAAAAATTGAAGTAAAAATTCTTCAGAAGAGAGAAAAGAGGAAAAATTACGGTCAATATAGGAGTTTTGACGTACAAGATCACATTTAACGCAACTTCGTACTGTGTTTAGGCTCGCATTGGCCGTCACATTTTTCTTCTTTTCTAATAATTTTGCTCCCTCACAAGATTTAACGTATTCCACGATACATACATACCTACTGTGTGTGTAACGACATTTATTCTTTCCCCCTCGACCGCAATTTGTCATCGATTGCATTCACATTAAGAACATTTAGCACGTCGCGCGCTCGTAACGTTCGGCGCACGAAGTGTCTAGTAAACAATCAGTGTCACTAGAATTTATTAACATACATGAATAAAGATTAAACGTGTGATTCCGTTCTCTCCCGCGTTTTTTAAATATACTGACGCGAAACACAAACAATTCGCGTTCACTTATTCATTCTCGACGCTGTTTCATTTTCTTCAAGCTTAAGCAATTTAAATCGGATGTTCACGTTAACAGAACTCGCGCGCAAAAACAGAGATGAATTTTTATCAGACTACGTATACATATATATATACACGCGTTAACTTCTGTTTCTTATGTTATGTTGTGCGTTTTTGTATTCTTGGAATCGTGGTAACTCGCTCGTTTTTCGTAGGCGCAGTACGTAATTTAGCATCTCGGAAGGAACGTACGTATATACAAGTAGCGCGACAACAATGTGATGGTAAAAAGATAAATTATATAAAATATACTTAATGAAAAATGTCGAAACCGCGCAGCACATCGTGTGTGTTTCGCTTAAAACGCACGCGATCGAGGAGGGCGCGAACTCGAGAGGAGAGAAGTCAACCGTATGATCGCGATTGCGTCACGAATTTACGCACGAATATTTACTTACGATCGCGCAATATTCATCATTAATATTCCGTTTGTATACGTGCCCCTTTGACAGCGCGACACGCAGTCGATGCGCAATACTAAATTCTTCTCGTTTTCGCGTTTTGCATGCAGCGAACGATAAACGCCGATTGTTCATCGAGAGAGCTTCTTTTCCAGAAGCGTAACCGTATTAACATTCCCGTCGGGATCGCCGTGTCGCTTGTAAATACAAGAAAGCGCACTTGTTTCGCGTGTGAGTTTAATGCACGATCGGTTTCTTTTCTTTCTTTGCGGTTGTCGCATAATTAATTGGACGTTTTATTGGCCGCGATCGTTTTATCGCCGTTTAATTGACGCATCGAAGTCAATTCTGTATATTTTATGTATTCGTTGCTAAAAAAAATTCGCGTATTCTCGCGGGGGTTCTTTATTATTGATTTGTCAGATATGTTTTTTTTTTCGCGCGAGGAGAAATGCTAGAAAGAGAGAGGTGCTAAATTAATCACGCGAAGATGTTAATATTGATAACATTTAATTTTCGAGCTTCGAGCGCGCGTGTGCAAAATTTGAAATATCGAAATGCGAGGTATTTCTATATACATGCTAAGCAGCGATAAAACGCGATAAACAATCGCGGTAAATATTAATACAGCGTTATCTGGAACGATCGTCAAATTGTGACGTCACAGAGAAGCTCTGCGTCGGCGCTTACATTGTCAAAAGAAAGAATTGAAATTTCGCGGTGTCACTTTCCTATGCAACAACGCGATAACATAACAGAAGACGTTTGCGAGATGAGAGGCAGCGTTTGCGAGTGAAGTAACTGAAGGGATTTCGCGGGAGGAAAGATAGTAAAACGCGCTTCTCTGAGCTATTTCGCGAGAAGAACCGAGCAGGCTCGGGCACGCGACGCGTGCGAGTTAAAATCCTTCTTCCTTCGAAGATTATATTATGATCAACTGAAAAGACGGATGGATATATGCAGTGCGCATGTGTGCGTGTATATGATACAGAGATGGATGTACGAGAGAGAGAGAGAGACGCGTTGCTGCACGGCGTCGGCGCGATGTTATGTTCGGCTCGTGGACGTGAACGCGAGCGCGGTTGCTATTTTTAGCCTTCGGAGGAATGACAGTCCCTCTCGAGTGTATATGAGGAGCTATTGATAGGTCGCGGTCTTGGTTGTGGACGAAGAAGCAGACGCGTCGCGTGAATCACACCGTCGTCGCCGCGAGAGAGAAGAAGCCATGTCTCTTCAACCCAAAGTCGTCGTCGTCGTCGTCGTCGTCGTCGTCGTCGTCGCGAGTAATGTCGCGATGCTTTATTCCCGCTAGACTTTTCGCCGAGAAGATGAGAAGAGTGCGGAGTCAACGTGATCGTTTAAGGAAAAGGGTCTTATGTGTGATACAAGCTCTTTATCTTTAATCTCTTTAATAAATTTTAATGTTGCGCTCAATAGAAGCGCGCATTTGCGCGAGCGATCATTTACAATGATATGCGCGATTTGAAATTCCAAATTTATTTGCAAAACTAAATTTGACGCTTCTCTGTCTCAATTTCAAGTGCGAGTTGCAAGACGTTTAATGTCGAATTTTATATAAGATGATGCTATATAACGAGATAAGATCGCGACGAGAGTCAATCGAATATCTGAGAAGAAGTTGATTTCTTAATCAATTTATACGCGGCTGTTTCACGCGAGCAATACTCAACGATGACGTCAAAAATGTCAAATTTATTTGCAACAGAGCTGTTTGGTGCTTTACTGCAATTCTAAGTTTAACATTCTTGCTTTTCTTCCTCCTCTCGTCGCGTTCGAGTCGACGTGATAGAATCGTCGTCGTGTTTTACGTATCAGGAATGTGTCGCGGCGGCCTCTATAAAATCTACGACTTGATTCTTCTTTGCTAAATGAGATCCCTCGCGCTATACGCGTTGCGATTTTAGTAACTGCATCGCGTATTCCGCAGTTGTCGCCGCGCGCGATTTCTTTTTTGTATCTTCCCACTTCGTCGTCGCGCGCTTGAAGAGTGAAGCGGAAAGCAAAGTGCATACGAAAAATAAGATAAAATCAAAAATTTTAACCAATAAGCTAGAATCTTAAAGATTCATACTCTATAATAACAGTGTGTGCATAATAACTGACCGTTATAATTAATTTTTGTTTTTTAGCGAACTCGACGGATAACATTTGTTGCGTTAATTCTTCGTGGATAGAATTCAAAAATGATGATTAGTTAGACAGATTGAGTCTGTGAGACCCACGCGACTTCAAAATCGAATATCTCCGCGAAAAACCAATATTTTTTCAATTTTGTTTTTTTTTTTTTTAATCGAAAGTTTGAACAATTCTGCGCTGATAAAAAAAAATCTGTAGTACTTTCAAAGTGTTTAAAAAAACTCAATTGTTACTAGAGACACTGATGCACAATTTTTGAATAGGTCTGGGAGACCCATGTCTGTCCGCGAAGGTTAATATTCATTGATTACTTATCGCGTGTTTTTGTCCTGCATTTGACGCACGCGCAAAACTATTTCCACGTATTTTACGCTTCGCGAAAAGTCAAAAGTCACACATTAATGAAAACGCGACATTTTTTTTCTCCTGTTACGTTGGAAATTACATAACAAGCGTAATTTTCTCAATGGTCATTGTCGACGATCATCACGTTTTCTGTTTTCAGGTGCAGAAGAAGCGACGCATCATCGCGCGAGTTCAATGTCGCAACATTAAGAACGAATGTCCCAAACTCACGTGCAACGAACCAGTTTTACTGCCGGGTCGATGCTGCAAATCTTGCCCCGGTGACGTCAGTAAGTTATGCAATATGCGCGATCGTTTTTTGGTTGTTTTTTTTTAACTCGTGGATTGATTTTTCGCTTTTGTGAAAACGCATGCGAAATACTTACGTAAAAAAGAAAAAAAACGAACGGAAAGCACAAAACGAGGAAGAATTAAATATAAATATATAATATTTATTTTAAAAAAGTTTCAATATTTATATCTTACCCAAAACAAATGAAAGAACACCGCAAGTTTGAAGAACAAGCGTCTCTACTGCTTTATATACTACAAATTACGCTAAAATGTTAGAAACGTGAGATCCGCGTAATTTACCACACAAGCACAATTGTTCGGCCGGTTCCGCTCGATATCGAGAAAAGAGAGTCCGGGGACCTCAAAAGGTATTCCGGCTATGCGATTTACTCCATCCGCATTCTACTGCCGACCGGCGGCGGGACGGTAGATAGATCTGCGCGCGCGGAGCGAAATAGAACGCGCGCGCGTTTGTCGGTGTGCGCTCTCGAAGAATTTGGTCCCGGCGCGATGCGGTGAAAGTGGTATATCCCGCGCGGCGCTGATAAGACAGCCCAGATAAGAAACCTTCTTATGTGTGCGCGCGCGGCAGCGCCGCGACGGTAATAAGCGTGAATTGACGCATGAACAAAAAACGCACACACACACGCTCTCGCGAAGTGGCGATACTATCGCCTCCGCGAGCTTCGTATTTTATTGCGCGTAAATCATTTTATTCGAAAAACTTGCAAATTGGCCCGTTAAGCCTTTCCACGTGCGTGTACGTGTGTGTGTGTGGTGCGCGCGTTTAGCGGAACCTTTCTAATCGTCATGGCTGGCGCCGATGATCGCGGCGTTGTGTATTTACCCACGTGTGCTGCTCCTCGGAAACGACGAAATGATTCCACTTGTGAAATATATATACGGATAAAATTGTGAAAGAAAGATAAGGCAGATAAAGGATGTGTTTTTTTTTCTACGGATAAAAAATATTTAAAAAACCACGATGCTAAAGTAGCAGAGAGAAAAAAAGATTTGCGTGAGGAAGGTTAGCGGATCGTGTTCTCTTGTGAGGAAACTTGAATTGTAATCGGTTGAGAAAAAGGGAGAGATGAGAGAGAGAGAGAGAGAGAGAGAGCAAGAGGGGAGATGAGGACGGACGCCGCGGTTTAGCGCCATGGCGCCGGCTATATTACTGCATGGCGTCACTTCGATTAAGCCGTGCAATCTAAATGTAAATATTAGCATACGTAATGATCGGGCATAACGCGCGCGTTGGGAATAGACGGGCGGATCAGACGATAAGGAGAGCGAAAGTAGAGAAAGACAGTGAAGAAAGATCTAATAGAAGAAAGGATCATTTGGTGGCAAAACGATGTAAAATTACTTTTATTTCTTTATTTATAGATAATTTATAAATATTTTACTGCAGTATATATGTACAAAAGCTGACAATTTTTCATTTTTAAATAATTAGGCTTTTTCTTTATATATAAAGAAAAAGCCTAATTATTTATTATCATATCAATAAAGAGTAAATAAGATTTATTTAAAAATCAGTGTCACTTTGTAAATTAATCAGACTTTATAAGTGCAAAGGAAATCAAAACGCTTATAATAAGAAAGTTCTGTGTGTAAGATAAATTGTCTTACAAATTCATTTTCACAAATAGCGACTTGATCGCGATTGATTGGAAGAGACAAACAAAATAAAGCAAAGAAAAACAAATTCTCAATAGAAAAATTAATCTACGCAATCTCATATATACGCAATTTACAGACGCTTTTATCTTACAAGAGCGGTCGATGATTTTTTTGATATCGTTCGCGCCGATAACTTTCCATAGTTTTTTTTTTAATTTTCGGAGTAACAAGATCACGTGCCTGTAAATAGAGACGAGATGTGCAATCGCTCAATGCTCATTTTTACGACGCGCGCGTATCGCTTGCGGTTTATTGGCGATGCAACGAAAGACGCGCGCTTATTATCAATTGGGTTAATATGACACTTTTGATAAAGCTCATCGTGTCGCCTGCCGTTGCAACTGAGGAAATCAAAGTATCATAAATAATAGAGAAAACGAAAGTAAAAAATTAAACTTGTAAACACAGTGAAAGATGATCATTCCTAGAAAGTGCAAAAACACAACATCTTGTATAAACATAAAATTTTTCATAAACATTTCAAATGTAATTAATATACCTAATTAAGGTAATAAAGATAATAAAGAGATGAAAATTTATTTCAATATTTTTTTTCAATAATTTAACAAAACGCTCTTTATTGTACATAATGGCATTTTGAAAAATAAAATCAAGTATATGCTGATTTAAATAGTATAATCAATTAATAAGAGTAGTGCGAGAAAACACAAACACTGTTACTTATTGAGTCACCACTCACAAAGGAGCCTCGCGAAGTGGAAAATTCTGGTTTTGATGAAACTTTGCATACATGTAGAGATCAATAGATGAATATTGACATATTCCGTTGCGGCCCAAAAACCGTTTTTGTCAATATTCATCTATTAACCCCTACTCCCTATGTGTGCAAAGTTTCATCAAAACTAGAATTTTCCACTTCACTAGGTTTTCTTGTCAGTAGCAGAGGGAACATGAAATGGAAATAAAATCAAATAAAACGAGGAGTTGACGAGATTCAAGATTCGAGTCATACGAGGGGACGACGAATCGTTTTTGACAATTGCGGTCGCTCGTTTCTTCTTGCACTTGCCGCGAGTCATTTGTTCTCATAGAATTCTCGTATCAATATCAACGCGCATCAAGTTTATTTTCCTCTGCACTTGGCGACATCGAATGCCTCGATCTCCTCTTCCTTCCCTTCCTCTCTCTTTCTCCTCCCGAAGACATTTCGCCAACGTCGCTATAATAATAATCGTCGTCGTCGTCGTCGTCGTCAAGCGTCTGATAGGGGCTCGTTGCCCCCTGCTGATGAAAGGTGAAACTGGCCGCAATTAGTAGCGCCTTCCTTTTACGTTCCACGAGGAAACATACTGCGACCCTTGAGCCCGTCGATTGGACCGTCGCATCGATTCTCATTCGGTTATTTCTCCGTCGATTCTCGTCGATCCTCATTGGAGAGCTCTCTTATTCCTCCCGGCACTTTTGCGCATCTCTGCTCTTCCCGGAGCGTTGCGAAAACAAATTAGACGTTACTCACTGCGGGCAGCTCCGATCACAAAGAGAACAATAAAGCGAACGATTCGAATTATATTCGACAAGAGAGAACATTTTTTTTTAAAGTCAATCGAGAGGATACACACGACCGAGACTTTTACGAGCCTGGGTGGGACTATCGCGATCTCTTCGCGTTGCTGCTCGCCGGAACGGTTCTCGCAAATCGAACTGTGTGTGTGTATGTGTGTGTATGAACGACAACAGTCAGATCTTTTCCTCGATAATCCTTAATCCTGAATAACGGTCGTCCTTCGATCTGAAACGGTGTCGCTACCCGAGGTGGCGGCTTTCGGTAATACAACCGCCCGTGTGACTGTAAAACCGCCGACGTGTGTAGTATTAGATGACGCATTAGCCTTTCTAGTCACGTTTGCAAAACACGCCGCAGGCTCCATGCAAATTCACGCCATAGTGTGTACATGTATCGTCGTAAAAGTCAAGAGGGGCTATTTTGAAGTGGCGCGCTTGAGGTGTAAAACTCTGTGTGCGTGTGTGTATAAAAAAAAATACATATATATATATATATATAGTGTGTGTGTATTAAAAATAAAACTGTTCAAAAGAAAAACGAACGATTCGGTAATTCACGCAGCAGAAACGGAAACGAGGGCGTAAGAGAAGCGGCGGTGGGTCTCGCGCAGTCAATTATCACCCGTAATCAACCAATTAGCGTTATCGTCGTTTATGCCGCTCTTTTTTATTCGTCTCTTCCGATATTAATGGCGCGACACATCGGTGCCGGCGTCGGCAGATTCGATTAGGTAGGCGGAAATAGTTCGGTCTGGCGAAACTGGTCGTCGCTCGTCGACGAGGCGAGGGAGAGACGTGCTGTACGTTTTGCGCGCGGCAATTAACGTCTCCGTGGCGCTGAACCGGCGCGGCATGCGCCATAAAAGTAACATTCAAAGTAGCGGCGGTTGGCGCCAGCCGACTCTTTCCCAAGCGAGCGCGAGCATTCTTTATGGTCCGTGCACATGCCACCACCGGCTGCTGAATCGACTTGAATGGGGGATCGACGCGCGATCGACGATCGACCGGTTATTTTTATTTTATACCCGTCTGCCAAACGAGAGAAGCGAGGAAAGGAGGAGTGTGCGGAGAGCGAGCATTGCGGCGCGTCGCTATGCATCGCTGCCGCGATGCGAAGTGCAAAGGACTCTCACGCCGAGTTCTCTCCGCCAAGAGAGTTTTATCCTTCCTTTTCACGAGTTCTATAGAAATTGTGTTTCTCTATATTCGTTTAGTTAAATTTGAATGTAAAAAAAAAATATATATATATATATACATATTTTTGAAAAAAAACTTAAGAAATTCAAGGACGCAATTAATTATGTATATTGAACGCTAACAGTATGCTGGTCTCGCATTGGTTTTTTGCTCATCGTTGAAATTTTCACAAGCTTTTTCATTTATTTATTATGAATATTTATGACAAAATACATTTGTATATGTTATAAATATTTATAGCGAATTGTAATGTAAATTTGAACGTTGAAAATTGTAGGTTTTTTGTGCAACATATATAATTTCGTGACAAAAATGTATTTCTTATTACAGATACGGACGTAGTGCAGGATCTGCCGGCGCAGTTGACTTCAGAAGAAGAAGAGCGAAGTTTAAAACGTAAGATTTAAAAATTTGTTACACTTTATGAATAATTATGTTACATAATTATATTTCTATGTATGTTTTTTTTATATTGTACACATATATTAATATTGAAAATTATATAATATTTATATATATATATGTAATAATCGTTCACTTATATTATTTATATATATATATATATAATATTTCCTATTTCCAATATATTCCCGTATATACATATAAATTGGAAATAGGAAAATATTGAAAATTAAAAAAAAAAACAAAAAAAAATATCTCTCAAGAACATTAACATAACGCAATAACATGTTATCGTATTTATGTTTGTCTGTTCATAGTTCTCTCTGTGACATACATTTACATATTTTTTTTTTCACTTGTTTATCATTCTTATTATTTATCGGCGCACAGGAAAATTTTCACCGAAACTGTGCCAAACGTCATCGCTTTTTTCTTAGCGCAGTCTGAGGATTTTTCTCTCGATTACAGACTTTGGCACTCTGTTGACGGGTAAAACGTCGCAGTTCCTTCGCCGCGATGATTCGAAATCGACGGCGTGCAATAACAACAACAACAACAATAACAACAGCAACAATGCATGCAACGTGTACAACAGCGCGTATAATTATCTAGCAACCGGTCGCTTCACGTTCCATCGCAAGAATCTCTACTATTCGTTCTATCTGTCCGCGGCGACGCCTCGGCCGCGCAGCATACAATTCGTCGACGGATTTGGCAGCATCCTCGAGGAGCAGACAATCGATCCAATCGGCGGCGCATATCAGAACGCAACTGGCAAGTTGTGCGGCGTATGGAGACGCGTTCCACGTGACTACAGAAAATTGCTGCGTGAAGAACGTCTGCACGTAACCTTCATTTGGGAATCGGCGAGCCTGACTGGTCAGCTGTCCCGATATCGCGCACTGGCGACCGAGCAATTTTCATCACTGCTTGAACCTACGATGGGCGTTGATCTCTCGTTGATGTCCGGTGCGGGCGCGACAGCAATTGTGTCGGCCTCGTCCGCGTCGGCACCATCGATCCACGTGTCGCTCATCTTCAACGGTCTCTTCCTACCGAACGACGTGGCTGACGTTCCCCTGATCGTCAAGCTGGAACACGAAGAAAAAGATTACGTGGTCCTCTTTGAGGAGATAATAGTGAAGAAGCCGTCGAACGAACTTAACTTTGGCGAAGTTCGTAGCGCAATTTCCGGAGCGGATCTTCGTCTTTTGACACGGGGCAAACTAGCGATCAGTATAATGTCCCGCAAGGATCCGCAAGCTCTTCGATTAAGTGGCACGGTGATTCCGCGCGCGACCTGCGACAGATATGAGGCGCTGCTGGTGTCTGAAACGCCGTCCAATGCGGCGGGATTGGCCTGGGCCTTCTTAGATCGTAGCGGAGCGCTACAATATGGAGTCCAGTTGATAGAACTCGATCAGGAAAGTCCGTTGGTGACGCTGGTAGATGAGGGAGGGAAGCGAAGAATGGAACTTGAAGATCTAACACCTTCGTTGATAAACGGTTTCGCAAACGGTTCCCTGGACCGGCCCGGACCGCGGCTTCTTCAGCCTCTCTTCAATCAGGAACTTTCCGTAGTTGCTGCGAGTCATCTCGGTTCCATGTTACGCGGTAGACTTCTGGAGAGACCTGTGGCGGATGCCAGAGACACCGCCGCGCCTTTCTTGTTGAGAAAGTTAACGCGAGAACACGGACCTGTCGGTCTGGTTTGGACCGCGGTGGACCTAGACTGTTCCCTACACTACGAGCTGGAACTCGCAGGTTTTCCTGCCACGTCTCAGGAGCTGCGGACATTCCGTTTATATTTGGAAACGATGCCTATGATCACACAGGGCGCTCCCGTCGCCAGGAGACTTCTCGAAGAATTCACAGGATATTCGCTGGAAGGATCTGTTACCGGACTGTCGCCGTCGGAACTCTACAGAATCGACGCGGGCATCAGTTTTCTCGAGGTGACGGACAAGCAATCTATTCACATTCTGAAAGCTCGTTTCAAGGCTAAAGCACCGATCAGTTGTTTGTCGCATTACACCGAAAACGACGTTACTTCTGTGCTGGCATACAATTTGCCTCCTCGATCGGATATCGAGACCACCGCGTGTTATCACGAGAAGAAATTTTACGAGGAAGGCGTGCAATGGACGTCAACGTCGGATCGCTGCTCGATGTGTCATTGCTATCGTGGTTTGGCACAATGCGATACCGTGCCGTGTCCAACACTTTCCTGCGCGCCAGGGAAACAGTTGAAGCAACCGCCAATTGGTTGCTGTCCAATATGTGCAGGTATGGATATTTATTTATTTATTTTCTTTTAACCTTTTTCGTAGACTAACTTCCAAAAATGACTACTAGTTGGACTGGGTCTGTGATACCCACGCGACTTAAAAATTAAACATCTTCGCGAAAAATCAATATTTTTCTTTTGTTTTTTTTTTTAATCAAAAATTTGAACGATTCTGCGTTGATCCAAAAATAAAAATTGAAAAAAAATCTCTAGTAGTTTTGAAGATATAAAGCATTGAAAAACAAACTAATTTTTACTAGAGACGTGTGAATGTGTGCAATTTTTGAGTAGGTCTGGGAAACCCATGTATGTTCCCGAAAGGATACTGAAAAAAAAAAAGAAAACTTTTGATATGTACAAAATTGTTTAATATTACGTTTAAATCCGTCAGTTCTATACATTTATGGTTAATGATTTGTTAACAATATTTAGCGTCAAATATCGTCGAAAGTAACGCAACGACGACCAAGATCAATATCACAAAAGGTTGCACGTTAGCTGGACAATTTCATCTGGCGGGATCGTCCTGGCATCCGTATTTGCCGCCAGTAGGATTCGACACTTGCGCAGTTTGCACCTGCGACGTAAGTTATTATTCTTTCACAATAGAAATTGAATGACACAAAAGTTTCTTTGTGTATTTTTAATTTTATTTGAAACTTATTTTATTTGTTTTTATTAATTTTGTTATCAAACTTGATTTGACTGACTTTTAACATATGTATGCACATGATATTCACGCTCTCGCGCTCAAATTGCAAACCGCGTGACCATTACTTTCGGTGCAACTTTACAGCACGGAAAAATCTGAGCGCGTCATGCCACGTCCTAAGAATGCGGTTGCGGTCTGGCGAGTTAATAATGAGTTTAATTGAATGATTCAGCGACAAGATTTTCTAAACGATTGTAGTTTATTAATGCACGACCGAATCGTTTCTCAGCCAATTTACACGCCGTCATAAAAATGTCATTCGTAAAAATAACTCTTCTGTATATTTACGAATAAAAAAAAACCACACGTACATAAATATATTTCTAGATAAAAGACAACAAACATCTTCATTAAACACGATCAACAATACAGCTATAAGAGTAGCAAATCCTTGAAAAATTTTACAAAAAAAAGTTAGAATAAAATAAGATGTAACAAAACAATTTAATTTCAACATGCAAATAAACGCGCAGCGCGATTACCAGGAGGTCGAGTTATTCGTGATTTACATTGAAAATTCATTTATCTCACAGGCTGTCACACTAGAGGTGAAATGCCCGAGGGTGCAGTGCCCGCCACTCGAATGTGACGAGAAGGTCGCCTTCAGGCCGGACAAGAAGGCTTGTTGCAGACAGTGTCCGGTAACGACGCCCAGCACGACAACGAACGCGGCCAACACCGGCGACGGTGGTCGCTTGCCGCGCGACCAGGCGTTATCGTCCACGACGCGACGTACTCCGGAGGACATACTCTCTTCCGGCGGCTGCAAGTATCCCTTAGGCGGTCCGTACGAGAACGGCATGGAGTGGCATCCCCGAGTGCACTCGCACGGTGAGATGAAGTGCGTCAAGTGTCGTTGCAAGGTGAGAAACCCAGCTTTGCTTGCGAAACTTTCTAAAGAGTGTATATATATATATATACATATATATATATATATAAACACGCGTAAACATAATGCGTCGCGTGTAAACACATATACACAGTGCAAACACACGTGTTTATCGTTTATCGTCACGATTTTATATCTCTGCAAGGTATCGCGGGAGCGAATCAGAAACGCTTTTTACGCTGACGCGGTGCGCGCTTACATCGAAAAATAATTCGAATAATCGCGTTTTTGTTTTCTTGCTCTCAATATTTTGTTTACGAGAACGTGCGGATTTGAAATAATAAAATTGACGGCGCGCGTTTGACGAGATGGTCTGTCTCTCAAAGAGTTAAGTCGCGCGAATCGTATGAAAACGAAGGCTATTTGTGAATAAAAAGGTTGTTCTTACGGCCTGTTTATCGGGCGTGTCTAATCGTCTTAATCAAAGCGGCGGCCGCGCGCACAGCGAGACACATCGCGGATGCATCTTGTTGCCAAGCGGAGAGTAGAGTCTTAGAGCTTGCTTTACTTTTGTTCGTTGCTCATTGATTCGTTTAGAACGCGCGGTCGGTCGCCTCGCGATATACATCCAGACACGGACACGACGAGAAAGAAGACCTTTAAGGAGAAAACCTTTAACCGGACTTGCTCGCCCGGCCCGACCATTATAGGGTCCATCCATTACGATGAAAATGGAACGCCGCGACCTCGGAGCAAGCCTCTGGCTTGCGTCGCGTCGCGTCGCGACGTCACACGAAACGGAGCGAAAAATAATATCGCATCCCGATTCGTGAGAAACGGAGAAATTTTCTCCGACGGACCTCGTTGCACCGGTTCTTTCGGTTTTTATTACTCGCGCTCGCTCTTTTTCGTTGATAGATGAATATCGTCTCGCTAAATATACCGAGAATCTGTTCTTAGCCGCACTGTGTACATCTTTCGAGAAAAAGAGAGAGAGAGAGAGAAAAAAAAATCAGAACACACGTGAAAATAAAAAAATTAATGTAAAACATACGGTTGAAAAAATAATAATGAAATATGTAAAACGGATGTAATTTATTTATTAAATCCTGCTATAGCAATTAATCTAAATTTTCGACAAACATATCTGATAAGTAATTTTCATGTTCTATTGTTCTATTGTTTTTATTAAAAAAACGTATATACATTTAACTTTTTTTTTCTCTCTCTCTCTCTTTGTATGTAAATAAATAAATATGTATACTACAGAAGGTATATATTTGCATGTAATACCACATATAATTAAGAAAGAAAAATCAATGACGCGTGAAACGGTTTGCTTCTCCGTTTCCCGGAGACCGCGGCTTTTGCAATTCCTCGCGGATTATATACGCGCGAGGTTTGCGCAGCATTGTTCGACAAGCGGACCTTGCCTCGCGCGCCAACGTAAATGGTAATCGTAATGGGATCGTTCGTGTGTGTGTGTGTTTCAGAACGGCGACGTCAAGTGCGACAGGAAACGCTGTCCACGGTCGCTCTGTAACTCGATCGCGCATCAGGTGAAGCGTGGCGAGTACGTGCCGGACGCGGACGACTGCTGCACGGCGCAGTGCCGTCGCACGAGGCGTCATCATCGCAACAATCATCACTATCATCATCATCTAGCGTCACGACACACCATGACGCCCCGCGAACTCAGCTGAGCCCGACGATCCCGGAAGAATCCGCTCCGATCCACGAGGAAGCTCCGTCCCGCGTAGCTGGATGCACACCGAGCCGTGTATCGTATCGGATAAATGGCAGAACTCAAATCGATCGCGCGCGATCGCTCTTGTCGAACAATCGATAGAAATAACCAAAACAAAAAAAAAAACAAAACAAAAAAAACAAAAAAACAAAAATAAACTAAAACGAAACAAAAGGCTGTATTCGCGAACGTGTAATATTAAGATCTTTAGAAGTGTCGGGGATTTACAGCGCTTGTAGAAAAAAAAAAACAAAAAAATAAGGGATAATAATACACAAAAGAATGCGATGATCGATGACGCGAGATGGTAGCTGTTAGCGAAAATTTTATAGTTCGCATTCAACTAGGCGAGAAACGCGCGCGCGCACACCCACACTCACACCTACGTACGCACGCACGCACGCACGCACACACGCGCGCACACACACACACAAACATACAAACACAAACGCTCTTCGCGGTAGAATTTCGCGATGTTCGATGACAAGAGTGATTAATCAACGATGACGGATGCGCGCTCGTTGCTCAAAGTTAGTTTCGTTGTCGGCGGCGAAATGAAGTCGCGTGTGTATGCCATAGTACATGCGTGCGCGTGCAGGAAGAGACGAGAGAAAACGCTAGTGTAATAAGAGGAAGAACGTGGATGGTACACACACGATATAAGATGCTATTCTTATCCGCGACGCCCGCTCGGTCGTTCGCTCTAGAGCCTCCAGCGCCCGTAGCCCAGACGCTTATTAATCAATTGATCCTCATCAGCGGATAAAACGGAACGGAAATCGAGCGCCCTTCCCCTTCGCAACGCGTCGCGACGGTTACGCGTTACGCTCGCAGTAAAAAATTAAAAAAATAAAAAAAAAAAAGTAAATAAATAAAAATAAATAAGTAAAACAAACGCGCGAGGGGTTGAAAACTCGGAAAAGAAAGAGCGATCGGTTTTAGTCGGCGAAATTTACAGTGCCCTGCTGTACCCACTAACATCTTCGAGTTACCCAGCAACCAAAGAAGACTGAAAAACCTCCGATGGCGGCATCAGTTAATATACGCGATTGCTAAATGTGTTTACTAATAACTACAACTTTTTATGGATTTATTATTATTTTATTATTATTATTACTTACTATTATTTCTAATATATTAATAGTATTACTATCGCTATACTACTTGTGTACTACGATTAATTACGTCGTTATTAAGTGATATAGTCGCGATGCTGCTATATCAGTTTTATCTTTCTTTATCGCCGCGCCACAAGATAAAGATCTAAATTATCACTATAATAAAAGATTATATTTATATTATATATATACATATATATATATATATATATATATGTGTGTATGTATACACATGAATCGCTTTTGACAAGAAACGTTGTTACTCTTATGATTTAATAAGCAGTAATATTCGTTAACACGCGCGATAACGCACCCAGTGTAAGTTCGTGTTATTTAAATTTGTATTTATTTGTAGAAATATGTAATCCTTTACAATTATACCGAAAATCTTATCGGATTTCGGAAAATTTAATTTCCACGTTTCTAATTCCCACGACAAAATATCGTTCGAGAACGCAATTTTCTTTCGATGCGCTTCTTATCGAAAATAATTTTTCAGCAGCACGTCTTATAACGAGAGAGACCGATGAGGTTACAGAAGATTTGCCATACTTGTGTTTATAATTTTGTACTCCTCACGCGTCATATATATATTGATTTTGTATAGATGATACAAGTTTTAGAAAAATGCAATCAATCATTTGGAAACGTGCGATCACGAGATTGAACATTAAAAAATAGTACTCTCTTGAGAACGCGCAGCCTCGCTGGAAGTGCAATCGGCAATGGTGTCACAGCGATAATTCAGCTTCTAGCAGGTCGTTATTATAGACAACGAAGGAAGTGTCATTCAGCCGCCCGTAGACGGAAAATTTACCCGTACAAAACCGCGCGCGCGGTCATGAGGATATTGTCGCGCCTCTGATTCAGTCTCAATTATTGTGACCGTGACTGCTTCCACTTGCCATTTCGATCGTCGTATTGTTCAGTTCGCGCGTGTGCGAAGGCGTTGATTCACATCGTTTACCGTAGGTGCCTTTTAAAACACGTAACTCTAGCGGTATATACGGACATATATCATAGTCACAGCTAGAACGTTAACGTTGCCATGTATGCGAATACATGAACATTTTGTACATAAAAAACGCATAGAATTAAGAGACTTAGAATTAGATGTTATTCTAGCAATATGCACAAACACAAACAACACAAACACACATTGATATGCTTGATATTATTTATAATATGTTACACAACTCTTTTTAATAAGTACCACTTTGAATCCCCATGCGCGCATATTTTATTCGTTTTACTTATCAATCTACTATTGTCACCATTATTTAAAGTCATTGTTCATGTGCGATTGATTTTTTTTCAGACGAGAGTTTAACATTGATTACGTGTTTAAGTTTAAGCGACATGCTTCACACGCGCATACACGCTGTTTTTAATTAAATGTAAGGATCACATTTATAAACGTCTCTTCTCTGTAACGAGCACGTCCACACTGGAAACGAAACGAAATAGATAGGAAAAAGAGTTTACCTGTTATATTATTAAATGTAGTACCTTAACAGATTAGCCGACAAAAAAGCAAACGAAAGAAAGAGCGGCCGGTGTAACGTAACGTTACGTTGCAGAGAAAGATTTATCGCTGCTTTGGCGCCGAAACGAATAAAAAAAGAAAGAAGCGAACGAATTATCAAGAACGATTGTTGTCGCGATAGCATCCTATTGAGAGATTGGTTTTTTTTTTCACGTCTCAAAGCGCGTCGTGCGCTGAGAGATACATTTTCTGTCAATTCGTCGCAATAATTACAGCTTTTACGCGAGATTGTTACAATGTATAGCGATCTCGCTACATTTGTACATAAACGCGGAAATTTTGTATAACATCTGGAGAAACAAGTTTGTATCTAGCGCATTGTCCGTTCGCATTATTCGCTCTCTCTCTCTCTCTCTCTTTTGTATAAAATGTAAGAATTTACTTTACATGCGATGTACGCGAGTGGTAATCAAAATTATTTTATTACAGGTTCTTTGTTTTTTTTTCACACACAGAAACACGCGAGCGAGTTGATTTATGTAGAAAAACGATCTTTTGTATTTCTACGAACGTGTATAAGCTGCTGAGAAACGCGACGCGTTACCTTCGAGAGTCCTGTAATAGAGAATGGAGATCGATGCTATTCTGTACTGTGCCAAAACTATTTGTTAATTAAAATGCCGATTATTATTATTACAATTAAACAAGCAGACTAGTTGGGTTTTTTCTCTACATTATATCTAAAACAACACCACAGTCGACTTGTCCTATTATTTCTAACGTATAATTTTATTATTATATTACATCAATATATTATATTAATGAGAGATATTTGCGATTTCCGTTTTTTGTTTTTAAAGCTTCGCACGAAGCGCCTGGTGCGCCAATGCATCGTCGAGAGCGTCGAGCACGCGATCGACGATTCGCGGATCCGCGTTGATTCCCATTAAGCCAACACGAAGAACTTTACCGACCGTCGGTCCCAATCCGCCGCTGATCTCGATTTTATACCTGCAAAAAAAAAAAGAATTTCCGCAACAATTGCGATCAAAAAGCGAAAAACAAAGAAAAGAAAGACGAACTCACCGGTTCATCGCTCGCGTCGTTAGAACACGACAATCGACTCCAAGTGGCGGTTTTATCGAGATGATGGTTGACAATTGGTAATGAGGATCCTCGACGTAACATTCGAGACCGCGTTTCCAAAGACCCCGCCTGAATCTGTCGGCCGCCGCAGCGTGTCTCGCCCAGGAAGCGGGAAGACCTTCTTCGGCGAGCTGCGCCAAGGCCGTTCTCAGGCCGTATATCAACGTAGCGGATATTGTGTGATGATAAACGCGCTGCGACCCGTCGAAGCAGTCCCAGTAATCGCCGAGGATTCTCATGTCCCAGTAGTAAACCGATGGCTTCGTCTTCCTCTGAAATAATTTTTTTCTACGATCGGGAAGAAAAATTGAATGCGATTCAAGTTGCTCTGTAAATACATCGAAAAGCGTCATTCTTTTCTCTTCATTGCTCACATGAGAAATGTAGAATACAAATAAATGACGCTTTGAAGAATTTTTTAGCGCGACTTTTGCACCGAATTAATTTAAGATATTAAGAAAAAACCTCGCAACACACGTAAGGAAGTAGGAAATTACATAGCAAATATTAAAAAAAAAAAAAAAAAAAGTTTACGCATCAGAAATAGGAAAGACTGTATTTTTGCACACATGCGAAGAAAAATAGAAATTCGCAGCTCGTTTTTCCAGGTCGATGGAAAAAAAAAAACATTGGAAATCAGTGATTGTCGATCAAAAAATTATCATCGTGCAGGAATTTCATCCTTCGACGGAGACGCACGTGATTCACATGGGAACCGAATAGTAGGCGACCGCGACCACCTATGACGGGTGGCCGCCGATGAGTCACGAATTCGATTGATATTCCATTCAGAGATTATTCGCGAGTGGTTCTCTCGATTCGCGCCAAAGTCGCTTTCGCGTTATAGTCTCGCGGGAAGAGAGATCGATCGGTTATAATTGCGATACGCACTCAGCGCGCGGGCTAAAGGACACGGGTGTCACTCCGGGAGGCGCGCCGAGGACCTTTTGGCTTCCCGTGTAAACCGCGTCTACTTCCCAGGCATCCATGAAGAATGGCTCGCCACCTATAGACGCCACTGCGTCGACGATCAGCAGAGCGTTGTGCCTGCCAGCAAAGGAATAACATTTTCGAATTGGGTCTCGACACGCACAATCTGTTATATTAAGTAAGTAGAATTTATTTACTCGTGACAAAGCTTGCCAATGCCTTCCACAGGTTGCTTCATACCCGTCGACGATTCAGCGTGAGTGACAAACACAATCGCCGGTCGATATCTCTGCAAAGCCTTCTTTAGAGTGATCAGATCGAACGGCACACCGAGCGGTGTCTCCAGTAATTTCACCTGTCATCGTTTCGTGAAACATTTATTTAGTTTAGAGAGAAAAAGTCAAGCGAGTATACTTGATTGATAGTTTACTTGGATTTTTCTTAAGACAAACATATTTATCTACTGCTGCATACATTTGCGCCAATACGCTCGGCTATGTCGGCCGCGCGTTCTCCCCAATTGCCGCATTTGGTGATAACTGCGATTTCGCCTGGCTCGAGTAGATTTCCCAGACAAGCTTCCATTCCACCGTGACCGGAAGCGCTCAGCACAAGAGTGAGCCTGTTTCTGGTTTGAAACGCGTATCGCAATCCCGCTTTGATCTCATCCATTAACTGCGGATGTTAATGATATTAGAGAGAGAAAAGAAAGGAGATGTAATAAATTCACAAAATAATTTATTGATACAATTACGCGCAAAGTTATATAATTTATTGATTACACGTTGTTTAATAAGTTGTTCATAGTTTTTTTATTTTGATACGTCCGAAACATGAAAAAAATTGTGGTCGGTGTGATTTCGCATCAAAATTTTTCTGAAAATTACCTGACACATCTCCGGATGTAGATGACCGATCACTTGTTGTCCGAGTGAATGAAGAACTCGATCCGAACAATTGCTCGGACCGGGACCGGTTAGGGTTTTTTCAGGTAAGGAAACAGAACGCAATATCTCTTCCGGTGGACTCGGGCACACGGCGAATCGTTGCCAGTTGATGTAACTTGCGTCCGCATTTTTCATCTTTCTTAAAATTCTATCGCAATATCTTATTTTATGTATCGAAACGATAAAATTTATCCTTCAGAGAAAACCGTGAACGTCACGAGAATAAACTTCAGAGATAAGAATAAAAATAAAGTTAGACCGTTTGTCGGTTACACGCTTATTGTTTCGAAGTGTGTCTAACGATTTTATCTTTGTTTTGAGAAAACAAGCAACCGTGAGATATTTGTCAAAATTGCTTGTCCTGATGTGTTTGTTTCACGCGTTAATGTAATACTGAAGAATCAGGCCACTCGAAGATATAACTGTTATCTCTTCTCGAGATTAGGTCATTCCCGTATCACATGTAAGAACACGAAAGTTTGATTGAAATCTCTTTAATTTTGCAAAGTTTGCCCTATACATATGATACTGCAGTTTATAATATTGTTTGTCACGTTTATCCGAATCATTTATTTTTATTCGTTTGACAATTTCAACGACAACTCAATTAATTCACGTTTAAACTGTTTTATTTCGACTAGAAATGTATAAACAAGTCTGTCTCCCGGAGAGAAACTGGAGCTTATTACGATACTGCGTCGCGGATTGATAATGCTTCAATAATTACGTTTCACGGAATATATGAGAATCATATTTCTCTCTCTGTTGCTGTTCATGAAGATAGGAGCTCTAGGATTTCACATAATTGTGCTTGGTAAATTCGTAATCAATGTACAAATTCTCTCTGTTATCAATACATATTTTATAATTATAAATTTATATAATTCTGTGATTACTATAAATTTTATAAACACACACGCATATGTGTATATATATACATATATCGTATAAATTCACGCACGGAATTATAAAAGCAGCCTAACAGTGTGTGTATTATTTATACTAATTAAAATTATTATTATTATTAATCAATGAATGTAATTGATCGTGAAGAGCCGCTGAATGTTGTGCGGAAAATATGTCTGTATGTACACATGTGTACATATATAAACGAATTCACATTTTCATGTGAGTTTTTGTAATTTCATTGTAATTTCATTTACAATTTTTGTAATTACAATTTTAAGAATTGTAATTTCAATTCTTTTGAATCATATAGGATGCTAGATTTACATCTCGTATATGAAAGACCCCGGATACCCCCCCAAATTAATTTAAAATAAATTAATTTAAAATTATTATTATTGTTTTATACTAATTAAAGATTAAAATAACTTTTGATGGCGATAAACAATACAGAATTTTGTATTTTATCTTTCAAATACTGGAAAATAACAAAACTACTACTACACGCACACACAATATGAAAAACAACTTTGTTTGCATACGGAAAAATGAGATTCGCAAGAATCTGCAAGTAATTGGCGCTACCAATCTCATAAGTAGCCGCGCTCTCCGCCGCCCGTTGCGAGCAAATTGTCGTGGCGCCATCTAAGAAATAACACAGGCGCACACTCAAGGAATTGACACATCGCTCGCACCGCTCGCCTCGCTCTCATCATCCGTATCACAGAGTGCGAATCGCATCTGGGCAGATCGTGGGATTGCGAAGTTCGTCGCGAGGAGCGGAGCACTTCGCGCGCGCGTAAGAAACGTCTATTATACAATATATAAGCCGTTCGATGTGTGTGCATACGTCACGCGTGTGTGTGTGTGGACGCGTGTTTGCAGTGTGCGTGCGTATATATAGTGTGTGAAGATTCTGTTTATCGACCGAGGATTTTTCAATCGCTTGCTTAGCGTAAGCAAGCTGGGAAACAGTATACACAGCGTGTATCTAAATCTTTTTGTTTTTTTTTATTCTGCGCCAATTGCTCGGCTGTTTATCGACCGAGCGATTTTGATCGGAATTTTGATTTATCGATAAAAAATCCATTCTTTAACTGAAAGATTCAACATAACGAAGATACATCTTCAACAAAAACATGCGTTTACAGATATATTCGTCGCAGAAGATACACGCGATAACAATAATATTACGACCGCATGAGTCCAACTCCTCTTTGAGAAGTTGCAGATGCTTCGTGTCGTCGTCGTTGTCGTCGTCGCCGTCGTCGTCATCGTCGGCGGCCTCCTCCCTACGATTTTTCGTCCCTTCACTCCTCTTTCTCTCTCTCTTTCTTTCTCTTTCTCTCTTTTTCACCCCCTCCTCCTCCTCCGCATACTCGGAGCGGCTTTTCTCGGTCGACCGGTCGACCGGTCGACTGCCTTCTCAAGGGGGCGTGCTTGCTCACATACAACAATGAGCGAACGCGAAACTATCTAAGCACGAGGACCCCGCAAACGTATCGTCGTCGCTTCTGTGTGATATTCGTGTGTGGCCCGGGTCCGAGCCGCTTCGCGACGCTCAATCGCCAACAATCGCGGCGTGTAATCGCGTCTCAAGCACCGCACACAAATCGGCTTTTCTGCGCACAACTTTTAAATCATTCAAAGGATTATATATAAAGGGCTTGCCGAAGTGGTGTGTATGTGTGTGCGTGTGCGCGTGTGTATATATATATATGTTATATATATTCGTGTATGTGCACGTACGTGCGTTAAGCTGTGGTTGTGTTCCGAGCAGGATTCGTGTGTTAACCCGCGTTTGCCTCTCATCTCTCGTCTGCGAGGTATAAATTTTACGAATTATTAGCTGTAGAGATATCTATGTACGTTTATAACTATCTTCGGAAATACTATTTGCGCAATATTTTTTTTACACGATAGTGATCGATTTTAAGGTGAATCAACTCAGCTCGCGGGGTGTGCTGATTCACTGAAAATTTTGCTAACTATGGAAACGAGGTTCTCCTCCTTTATTCTCGAGAGACACGAGGAATGTGTGCACGAGGTATTACATTGCAAGTACCGGGTGGTACTATATAATACGTGCCGAGGTTTTTTAGCTCTTCTCTTTCCTCTCTCTTTCTCTCGTCACGGATGAGTGACTTTTAAATATAGAAAAAAAAAAAAAAAAAAAAAAAAAAACAATTGGCGCACATTTTCCGCCGTTTACGTATGTGCTGCATGTCGCGTCCACTTGGTATCGCAGATGGATTTTTGCGCAAAAGGTTAGATTTACTCATTATTTCGAATCGATCGTGAAAATGAGAATTTTAATTTTTTCACATTCGAAGACCGTGAGAAAAACGGCGAAACAGGTTGTTCGTAAAAAAAAAGCATCGTTGAGAGCTGCAAAAATATTTGACTTTTCGACGTATTTGTATCGCAAGCATTCAATTCAACGATCTTTTATTCTTTTAGAGTCACAATAGAAAAAAAGAGATATCGGTGAGTCGAAGAAAATAAATGAATAACTGTTCATCTTTTTGTTTTTTTTCTTGTTAATGTTGTTACTGCTTCATTGGTGAGTGAAAAATAAACTGTCCTAAAGTAAACTAAAGAAGCATTTGAGAACGTATTATGTATCAATTCTTGAAACTGAGCGAGTAATCGAAATCGAGCGCGCGTTAACATTTAACCTAAAACAGATAACCTGATGAAAATGAATACGTATTATAATGAGTTATCGTATATACCAGGCACGCTAGACATAACCCCAGCATATGAAATATCACAGCAATGTGTATATACAATATATTATATCTTACGTCATATATATGTGTGCGAAATTTCGCGTCTCAATGACGAGGTTAACTCGTTTGGTGTCTCGCGAATCAATTCGTTTCCGTTTAGCTCGTCATCGCGAATCTCGTGTATAAAAATAGAGTATTTCACGGATTTAATTCACAAAACTTTTTTTTTCCACTCGTGATATTTTTATACAAAACGTTTAGTCCAATCCCAAATAAAAAGTGATACAAAGTGGTTTTACTACAACAATCTTCTCCAATAGATTAGATTACATGTGTTTGGTTCTCTTTAGGATTACATCAAATTTTTACACTATTGCTTTGATCATACGGTATTTCAATTCAGGGCCGGTTGTTCCACCTTTTGATAAATCTCAGCTTACTCCACAGGTTATTATCTATAGGATAGGAGGAACTTGACTAGCGCATCTCCCATTGTTTTTTATTTCTACATATTTATTTGTTGAATACGACTTACAAGGTACCGAGAGTGCCGTGTAATTTATCTTTTGGTTTCTGGTCATTTGCCAGATATATAAATTTTGCCGACACGTGGAACAATGCAAATCAGAGTTTTTTAACCATTAGATAGATTATAGCCGATAGTTTATCTGAAAGTTGAACTACCCTCAGTAGTTTATATTGATTATTGGGTCATGAAACTTGACAAATACATATATATGTATATATTTGTGTCAAGTTCCACACTTAAACGATCCAATAATTTACACAATGTTTTATTTTGCATACGTATCCCTTTTGAATGAAATAATGTAACCAACGACGACGCGCGAAGTGTTTGGAGTGATTGTGCTATTTAGCCAATTTATTCTGAAGTGCATTCGTAGAATTTCTTGCCGCGTAATTGAACAAAATAGAACGCGTCTGCACCTGCATCCTCTTCAAAGAAAGATACTGACCACGCTTATCTGCCATTCATGTGCGCCAAGAGAGAGAGAGAAAGAGCACCAGTTTCCTTCCGACTGCAATTTTTCGACAAGAGCGCAAGAGCGATAAACGCGAGCGCACTTCCGGCGATCGCGCTCTCTCGCGAAATGTATTTCGTAATAGTACATGCGCTCCGCTCGCGGTGCGCGCTAACATAACACCGTGTAAAACGGGTCTACTAACAAAGACCCGAGAACAACGGCCGCTATTGTCCGCACGAGCACGTTTTTTAACGCGCAAAGTGCGTTAAACGTGTGAACGTCGGGAAACGTGGTACGTGTTTAAATGTTTACAATGTTTACTTTTCTTGTTGCAGAAAAACCCGATGGGGTACCGCAGTACCAAGAAGACCGTTCGGTTTAATTGATCCGTGTTCGTCGAACGATGTGCCATGGCCTCGTCCTTAAGAGGACCAGGAATGACGGGCGTTCCCTCGCCGCGAATAATCAACCTGGAATTTCCTCCGCCACCTCCTTACCCGCCGCCGCACAATCAGGTAAAAACAGTGTTTGCGCGCAAAGACACATTATGTTAAAAATAACATATGCGTTCTGTCGGCGCAAGTCTCGTCTTCGAAGACGAGTTCAATGTTTATAAACATTACGATGTACATGGTCGTCGGTGGCAATGTATTGTAATATATGATAATGTAAAACATTAACAACGTTACGCGACGTTTTTCTTATTTCTTCAACAGATATTGCGCAACTCGTTGATGGAGCCGGTTTCGCCAATAATGTCGCCCGTCGCGAACTCTCATCAACACTCACTTCTGGATTATTCGTACGCTTATTATCATCAGACTGATCATCCGGATCACTTTCACGTTCCGTATTCGACGGATGTGCTGTCGCAACAACAACAACAACAACAACAACAACCATCGCAGCAGCTTCAAGAGCAGCAGCAACAGCAACAGATAATATCTCGACAATCGCAGCAACAACCCCAAGCGATAAGATCGGATCCTTTGAAGAGACACACTTACACGACTTGTTACGGCACGGAGGAAAACATTTACGAGGAGATATCAGAAATCAGGTGAATATCCGTATCGTGAAAAAGTGAAGAAATTTGCGAGCGCATTGTTGAAATTGTCTCCAAGTAATTGCAATAGCCAATGCGTTTTTAAAAAATTAGAAATTCCTCTATGAAGGGAGAATCTTCTCATTTCCTTTTGTTTGAATACGACGAGCAAAAATTGTTTGTTTGTTACATCCGGTGTAACGAAACGATTCTGCAGTAAGCTTTCCCCGTGAATACGCGCGAGTAATGCGCGACACAATAAATGAACAACAATTCACCAATCACTCCCCACACGGTTCAATGTATCTTGCAGCGGATGCCGGAGATAGCGATTGAGTTAAGAACAATAAGTTGAACGAGAGAGTCCGCGGATTATTCATCCGCAACGTCCTCGACTGGGCGCATAAGTCATTGAGACGAGATAAACCGCGCGCGCGTTCAAATTGAGAACGATCTCGCTAAAGTGCATAACTGTATTATTTCATATGTCGCGTCGTCGTGACACCACGGACCGTCTCACGATTCATTTCTTCTCCCGTGCGCGGTATGAGTTCTATTTTAGTTGCGGATTTATTTTAGCGTACCGATATAACGTGTCCTCAGGTTCGACAGTGTGAATTGGGAAGGTGACGCGCGCGAAAGTATTACGTCCACTTAATATAAATAATCGCGTGAGAACAACCGAGGTAAATATCCGGCCGATACTCCGCTCTTATAATCTTTCTGAAAATCTTTGCAGTAAGCAATGCCACCGCGGTCTACACGGATCGCGACGATCGCTTGTCGCGGAGGAGGTGCGTCGAGTGCAATCACGGCATCGTCGTGTGCTCGGGGAACTTAATTTAAGCGTGGAAGCGATGTTGATGCCAACCGCGGTCGAAAATAACGAGGAACAGCCGACACAGGAAACGCACGGGACTTCCACCGAGGAACTGTTACCTTCGGTCAGTCCCACGGACGATCTGAACTCGCGCGTTGGATGCGACAAAGACAGCGGTTTCAGCGGCAGTTACAGTTCGAATGCAAGTTACAGGTGTGTAGAAAAAAGCTGTTTCTTTTATTCAAGGTAATATATAGAAAACCCATTATATTCTATTTTGTTTGACTCGTATCCAACAGATTTATACGATCAAAATTTCAATAGTTCTCAAGTTCGAATATCTCATCGCGGTACCGTCATTGTGTTCGAATTGCAGATCAGGTTTGGGATCTTTGAGAAGAGGAATGGGGAAGATAAGCAGCGGGCCAGAGTCTGCTCAACGTAAGATGAAAGCCGCCATGATTTGGAAGAAAGGTTGGAAAGGTTGGAAAAAATTTCATTCCTTCGGGCACAGCGGCAGCGGCGGCGGGGGCGGTGGCGGCGGCGGCAGCAGCAGCAGCAGCAGCAGCAAGAATTTTGGTAAGTACATGGTTGTTGTTCTCGGTTTGTTTACAATATATTTAAAGACAACAAAGTTTACAGAGACATCTGTTTTGTTATTTTTTTACTCTACGATTGTTGTGCTCGCGGCTACCTGTGATTTACTTGCACATGAGCGATTCGTTACAAATTCTCGATGTGTAATTTGCCGCGCAGCTAGAATATCAATGAAGTTCTCTCTTGGAAATGACGTTTCCTAGAAGCGAGAGAGGCCGCGGATTTCTCTTCTTTATCTCTTCTTAAGTCTTTCGAAAGAAAAAATCTTATAACGAGAGAATATCTATTTGTGTACGAGTATGATAATTATTCTGTGGAAAGTAGAGAAAGAAACCGCGCGCGCGCGTGTGTGTGTGTGTGTGTGATCTTTGGAATTGCAACAATGTAAGATATTTGTGTGTACGTACATTCAAATACTTATACCGTGTATCAGTTTTACGAGCACAATTTTATGGCTCGTCGTAACTGCGTAAGAGCACGCGTAGTCTTTTTTTTTGTTTTTTGTTTTTATGAAAACGTTGCTTGCGGTATAACGCGAGTGTTTCATACTCGGTCCGTAGCATGCACTAGCGCGCATTTGGCGAATGGAGTTAATTATTGGTACTTGGAAGGGGTCAGCCAAGGGTCACTCGGTGGTAGAGCAGATGCGAGATCACGTGAAACGCGTATCCCCACCTTCCCTTCTCTCTCTCTCTCTCTCTCTCTCTCTCTCTCTCTCTCGCCTTTCTCTTTTACTCGCGTCTTTAATCCTCTTTCGGTTTTACGCTCGTTTGAATTCATTGTGCTTTCTTTACGGATTAATGACTGTGTTGCAAGATACTTATTGGTTTCTTTCTTTGAGATATCAAAGAAAATTTTTGTTAATGTGAACCATACTACATAGTTAAATGTATAATATATAAGCATACCATATATAATATTATAAAAAATAAATATCGCAAAGATATTTAAATGTATTAATTATTGTTTGTGATGATTGACATATAAATTAGTCGTCAAAGATTGTTTTATCTGTTATTATTTAAAGTCGCTTCTCGCTTTTTTATCACACTTTTATTTCAAATTCTTGTTCCATGCTACTTCTTGCTTGCTACTTCGCCACTCTTTCCGCGCGTACAAATTGTACAATTGTGTAGTGTACGGATTGTGGCGCCGTCTGGAAGAGTACTGAGATAAGTGAACGCAATATATACCGGTTGAGCAGCTTACATGTGTAATTTTACACACATTTCGTAACGCGAGATTTTGCTGAAAATCACAAAGTTCAACTTCAGTAAAATAAAATAACATTTATTTCGAATTACATTTTGTACATCAAAATGATTGTGTAACATTGTTTGTAATATTTTTTTTATATAAAAATATATATAGAGAAAAAATTGTTTTGAGAATTTTCTAATTTGTTTTCGTAATTGATAGTCAAACGTTAAATGTCAACGTCTGATTTTGTTACTTCTTCTCCCCATAAAGAGCCCGTATGGATCTAAAATCGTACGTGTGTATTATATACGTTGAAACGCAATGTATATCGTTACAATTTTCGAGTGTACGAATGATTCCGGAGCACGAGAGGCACCGCCTGTGGTGGTCCTTCGGAGCGCGAGACTATCTCGGCGTTCTCCTCTATCTCTTCTCTCGTCTCTCTGTTTCTCTTTTCTATCTCCCCCCCTCCCTCTCTTGCCCTGCGGCGCACCGCGCCTCTTCCTCTCTTTTATATTCATTCACTGTCTCGTCTCTCGTCCATCCGCTTCTATTTTCTCTCTCTTCCTCTCTCGCGCGTATACATACAGCTGCGCCGCGAGGTGAAGCGAGGCGAGACGAGGCCGACTAAAATGCGTTGTGTTTCACTCTCGATCGGGTATCCATGTACATATTACTTTCTCTCTCGTTTGCTGAACTGCAAACCACCACCCTCCCCGATTGCTCGCTCGCTCGCGCGTTCCTTGCTCTCTGTCTCTCTCTCTCTCTCTCTCTCTCCCTCGCCTCCCCGTCTCTCCACCTCCGCCTCCTCCTTCCTTCTCCGACCTCCGCGTTTCCTTCGTGCCCTTCGAGTTTCTTTCTTCAATCTTTGCGCCAGTGTACAGCGACTGAACGCGGAGCACGACGCGGCGTGGAGGGCAGCCGGGCGGACCAGAAACACGCGGCGCGGCCATGTTGACGATCACGACAACTCGCTTCATTCGCTCGCAACGCCGTGGCGCTTCTCCTCCGTCGAGCATCGCGCGTTTTCCTCGTCGCTGGATGCGGCGTTGTTAATTGCGCCGAGATGCCCGCGGCCGGCCGTGTGCGCACGTGCCCGATGTGATTTTTTTTTTCTTTCGCTTCTTAATTCCCCCCCGCGTAAAATCGCCCCCCGTTATCGTTCGGCATATGTGTTGTTGTACTACGTGCGACGCGCGCGAGCGCGCGTGTGTTGCGACGAGATTCGCAAAGCTCTCCTCCGGTGCCGAACACACATTTAAAGAACGGACGATGCGGTGGTGAGGAAGAGAAGGAGGAGATGGGCAGAGAGTGTTACGAGTGCGAGTAAAATCATTCGTCGCTCGGGGAACATTCGCCTCCGCGAGATGGAGGAACTGCATAACGGGGTTGTCCTTATCAAGTGTGAGTAGTGCCTGTCGATGATGATCACACGCTGTGATTGCGTCTGTCTCTTTGTTCTATAATGTGTGCGCATGTGTGTGTGTGTGTGTACGTGTGTGTGTAGACCCACTCCCTTTCTCGTGTCGAAATTTTTTTTTTGATTGAACCGAGAGAGATCGGAAATATATAAATTTCGTGGAATTTATGTTTCGTACATTTTTTATAATCGTTTTAAACTCCCGTTCTCCTTGTGTTGTCGGAACGTGTCCGCGGGAACATTGGAATGTGGATTTAACGAGATCATGTTTGGCGTACACATATTTACTGGCGCTGGTTCCCGCTTTGTACGCGGCCGGCGGCTTTTGTACATACTTACGCACGGAATACCGGTTGCCACACCGCGCGGAGCTCACCCCTCTACGGGACTCTCATTGTACAAACTTCCAAGTAACAACACACCGCGCGTACGCACACCGTGTAATTTTCATCATCATCCGATTGAGTTTCTGTGCCATTTTCCGTACACAACCGCGGCTTGTGGACAAAAAAAAAACAAGTCTCTTTCGTAAAATTTATTCAATTTTTCGCACGTCGCGAAAATAATGTTCGTCGATGTGCTAACCTTATCTCAGAAGCAACAGGTAACGGATCGTTTAAAGAGAGGGTTAAATATCTGCGCGCGAGGAGAGTAGGTTTTCTTGGAAAAAAAAAAAAAAAAAAATGGTTCTTCGCATTTGCGCGTCGGTTTTCCCCGAAATCTGGCACGGGACTGTGTCGGATTGTTGCCGGAAGACAATTCCTCGGAAACGGTACGCGAAACTCGATCGGGATGGTTGATAGTTTATAAAGTTTCTAAGGTCAACACACACACACATACGTCGCACGCTTCCAATGACGCATCACGCATCGAGTACGATTCCGACGATCAAGTTCGCACGAAGTGAAACTATATCGGTACCACGAATGACGGCATCATCGGCCGGTAGAAGCTGCCCCGCGTCCGCAGCTCACTGCGGTTTAATTATAGTTTCGGGTAATGGCAGTTATCATTGCGCGGAGAACCGTGAAACGATGCCCGCCCGCATCGATGAAAAAATACGTCGACAACGACGACGGCGACGGTTGAGTCGGGTCGGCGAACATTGACGTAACACACAGCGCTGCGAATTAAAGCCGTTTATATCGTTTCGTCAGTTCGTTCCCTCGCCGATCGCGTCGATTATCCAAATTACGTCAATTGTGCTTAATCGTGTATATCTGATACATATAACGTAACGATTAATCGTTTGTTTATCCGAACGACCGGTCAACAATGAAACGAACGGATACAAGCCAAGCACCTTTGTGCTTTATTTTAATTCGTTATGCGCGCGGCGGTGTCGCACACACACTGATCTTTCTGGTTTTGTGCAAGGTTTAGAATGTATAATCGCATGATCGTTAACGAACGCTCTGACCCGTGAGCGGAACAGAAAATTGCTGCGTGCAGCTCGATGCAGTGCTGAACATTGCCGAATGCGAGATCGGACTAATGCGCGTTGGAACGCGTCGCAAAATCGAAAATGAGAAAAACATTGCTGAAAAAATTTATATTGCTATTTACATGGGAAGAGAGAAGAGCTTGTCTTTTACTTGCATTTTTTTGTTGCAGCAACAATTATATACTTTTTGTGTGCGCAAACAAAATGTAGCAGATTTGCGAGAAAAAAAAGAAAAACACGTTTTGTTGGTAAAACAAATAATGTGCAATTCTAGGAAAACAAAAGATATAGAATAAACGATGAAAAAAAACGAAAGTTTGAAAGTTGGATGTGTAGAATATATATACGGAGTTTTCTTTTTTTCTTCTCAATTAATTCTTCTAATTAATTATACATGCTTAATTTATTTGAAACACAATAAGTACACCGAGGTACGACGAGCGGGAGAAAAAAAGAACAAACAAACTGTGCGCTTTGCATATCTCCGCGTTTTACGTAAACGCCGTAAATGCCCAATAGATTTAAAAGTAAACTGCGCTCCGCATTAGGAACGTGCGCGTTCCTTTATCGCGGACGCGTCTAAATTGAAATGTCACGCAGGTCTCCGATTTTTCGCTTTGCGTTTAAAAGCGTTGCCTCCGATCCCTCCCGTGTACCAGCCCAATCCAAAGTGGATGAACTAGGTTGAAATAGAGTGAAAGGAAATTGGCGAGTATATCGGCTACGCGTTATATTAAATTCACGCTGCGCCGCGCGCCGCTTGAAAATAGCGCCAGGATGTTTGCACAGAGACTTTAATCGTTTCGATTATTGCGCGCTCGCCTATAACGGCGCGAGTTTGTAAATAACTTTCTCCCTGCCTTCTGTCACGGGTAATGATATTTTAATCGGAAAGTTTTATATACGCGCGTGTTTTTTTTTTTTCCACGTCGACTCGGTGGAAAACGAAACGATTGATCGAAGCGAAAAATGCGAAGCAGAAAAACGACGACGTCGATTGTCCTATGAAGTAAGCTGATGATGACTGCCGCCTTCGAAATTTTTGATTCATGTCTCACGTTGTTGGAAATAAAAAGTCCACTCGGGCGGCACGTGTGCGCGTTACCCTAAAAAGCTGATATCTCTCGGTTGGTGTCGGCCGCGCGCCTACAACACACAGTTAACGTTCGAGAGCGGCGTTCGATGCCGGGCATCGTTGCCAAGTTTTTATTGTTGCCCACCGTGGCCACGGGATTGCCTCAAATATGTGTTGCAGAGTTAAACAATTGTCTCTCGTTATGACATTTTAAAGTTTAATGCTCTCCATGCGAAAAGTGGAACGCCGCGTACTTACTTTCTGCTTTCTCTCTCGGCTTCTAATTGTTTGAAAAACCGGAGCAACCTCGAACACGCGGCTTTTTTTTATTTTCTCTCGAGATTTTATCGCGCATCATTTATATAATCAAAATATTGTGTAATCGCGCGTCAGAACGCGCAATTAAAACGCACACAGTACTCTCTTCTTTTTCACATTCGCCTTAGAGCGAATTTTAATCGTTGTGATGCCGTACAAGCGATACGCACGGCGGTTTCTATGACTCTTTGTGAAATAAAAAAGAATTATATGGAGAAACACAGACGCACACATGTGCGCGCCGTGACACATCAGGTCGTCGCGTCAGCTTCAAACTCGCCGGCTATAACTCGCGGCGATATATGCGCGCAGAAAAAGAGACGGAGAGAGGGAGTCCGCAACTCTCCTCCTCGTCGTCGTCGTCGTCGTCGTCGTCATCATCTGTCTCTCTTCTACACAGGAAGCACCCGGAGAAGCAGGTTGATAGATACACGCGCTGTTCTCCGCGGCCGCGCGCGTTGTGTTGTTGTTCTCTCAGAGTAGTGAGAGAACGCTTCGGCAGTGTCGTTTCGTGCCTCGTCGCGTTTTCCTCGCTCCTCCTCGTGTAAATCGGCGCGTAGGATGTGCCCAGCTTGTTGCCGCGCGTCGAATTTGCCCGATTATGCACTGTCCTTACGTCGCGCGGCATTATTTCGTCGCGTTCGCTTTCTTTCTACCTGCTTCGTGTGAAGCACCTTGAATCCCGGTGTGTGTGTGTGCGTGTAAGTTAAGCACATATGACCGCTGCGAAACAAGTGAGACGCGTACGCCACTTGACGCGTTTTACACGCGCAAACACGCGCATAACGGTGCTACGTACGTGGGTCGATGGTTTTACACGCAAGTGGGCCCTGATCCCCGTGTGTGTATTTCCCACACGTGAAAGTATTGGGTAATCGACGAGAGTGTAGGCGGTATCGGTTTTCGTGTGGCCGTGCGGTGGCACTTGAGATTGCGACGGGACCAGGGACCGCGTCGTATATCTCGTGTCTCTCTTCGTAATTTTTTTTGTTTTGTTTTTTTTTTACTTAAAAAAACTTTGTTCTTGTATTTCGAAACGAAAAATTCGGAAGAGAATTTGGTAACGTCGAGGTTTCTTCATCCTGTTGATCCCTTCACTTCAGGTTTTGCCTTCAGTTTCAAATTATCAAGGACCTTTCTTTATATATACATATACATATATATATATAGTGCGCGCAAAAGTATGATAAATCGACCTTGACGTTGAAGTTACGTTTTTCCTTTTTTTACGAGAAAATATATTTCTGCCTACAATCGCTGACGCTACGTATAAATTTCTGTATCAAATTGATTATTTACGTAATATTCGTCTCATAGATAGCGGCATTTGCTTTTTTTTTATGTTTCCGCGAAATTTATACCGAAGGTTTTTAACTCGACTTGAACGTGAAACGCACGTTGATACTCAAACGTACGCCCAGGGGCGCGGGGAGGGGGAAGGGGTCTCGTTTCATCGGCGCTATAAAATGTTATAACGCGCTTTAATATCTGCGTATATGCGAGAAACGTGGGAACGGAACACGGAATAATAACGTCGCATTAACCCGATTATCGTAGCGACGTTAATACGCCAGCGCTAACACCAGCGTGCGCGACAGCGGAAGGTCCAATAAAACGGGGCGATGCATAGCAAAGCCGACGCTTCCGCGCGAGGGGCTGCGATCCCGCATTTGTTTCGCATTCGTAAACGTCATTCGTTTAAAATCCCACTTGACCAATTTTTTCAAAACGTTCTTTCTGTCGCGGTCGCGCCGCGCCGCGCCGGTGCCTATCGCGCGATCGCGGTTAAGAGGATAGAATACGGAAACATATCGGCCGCGCTCATACAACAACAGTAAGGTGACGCATGGCGTATCTATAGCCGATCGCGATGATGACGTTTAAACTTCTTACGACTTTTACCGCAGGAAGTAACAAAGGTTGAGTCGCGCTCGACGATCTTGTTCTTCTTTCGATCAAACGAAATCCAAGATTTCGAAAACTGCGCAAGTTTTACCTCTCTTTTCTCGATCGATGATTGCATCTCGAGATTCTCGTGTGTGCTTTGCAGACGAGTCTCGTTCAAGGTGCAGATCATGGGATGACGTAGGATCGGGCAAAATGGAAACAGTTAGCGGGAACAACTCGCACGCGCATCGCTCCTCTCTGGAGACGAGCAGATCCAACACGTCCACGCATTCTGCCAGAAGCGAGGACTCCTGGTGCTCCGCTTCCGACCACGATCTCTCCTCGGATGACGAAAGTGAGAAGAGCAACATCAGTCTTAAGTAAGTTTGAAATCCTTTAGTTAAACGTTACATAAGGTCTGGCGAAGCTGCGTCTCGTCTCCCCTTCGTGTATAATGAAAACGTTGCCGTTCGCTTCTTGCAGAAGCAATTGTCAATTGAGAAATACGTTGCATAAGGCGCGTACACTTTGCGACAAGTGGCGGTTTCAGAATATACCTGCGAACAATATGGATGTGATGGAGTCACCCGGAAATCAAGGACGTCTCTCGAGGTGGTTCAGCATACGCAGAGGATCGACGCATCATTACGATGTTGACACTTCGGACACGGTGTCCTTAACGAGTCCCGTCAAAACGTCGCAAATGCCACAGCTATGCGAGGTAAACACTCCCAGTGTTTACTCAATTAAAGTTGCGCCAAGATATATTTATTTACAGTTGAGCACGGTTGATCGTGTCGGTTGATCGTCGGAATAATCGAATTATTATTTCTAGGTTGATGAGGAGAACAGTGCAATGGTACAATTTCAATGTATGCAACAGCGAAGACAAGCTCCACCTACGCTACCGTCGCCACCGCTAAACTTGACTCCGCAGCAATTGAAACGTAGACACATCGTGGCCGCGATAGTACATTCTGAAAACAATTACGTGTCGACTTTGCAGAGACTAGTAAATGTACGCGTTAAAAAAAAACGATATTTCGTCGCCTCGAACGTGCGCGCGGATATATAGTTTTGTTTTACGTAGATTCTCTTCTTCGTTTCAGGATTACAAGAAACCGTTGGAAGAATCCTCACCGCCTATTCTGAGTCAATCCAAAATAGCAACGTTGTTTCACAGACTACCCGAAATTTTACAATGTCACACGTTGTTCAGAATCGCTCTCGCGGAATGCGTGCGATCCTGGGACAAAGATGAGAAGTTGGGAGACGTATTTGTGGCGAGTTTCAGTAAAGCTATCGTTCTTGACATTTATAGCGGTTTTATAAACAATTTTTCTGTAGCGATGGATTTAGCTAAACAAGAATCGAAGAGGAAGACCGCACTAGCTGACTTCTTCAAGGTAAGTATTTCAGACAGAATTCGTAAGAACATTTTCAATGCTCTTTGAGAGTTTGAATTTTGATCGTTTTGTTTATAGGTGAAGCAAATAAGTGCTCACGATAGATTATCGTTTTTCGGATTAATGGTCAAACCAGTGCAAAGGTTTCCACAATTTATTTTATTTTTACAAGTAAGTATAGTTTTGTATATATCATCTTATATAATCAATTATACATATATTTCAAGATTAATTGAAAAGTTCCGGGCTTTACATAGAAATAGCTCAAGTTCAATATTTTAACACTTTCCGTGCCACGTGTGCCATCGATGGTACACGTTAAACGCGTTTATACGTTAATTTGAACGTGTTAATGATATTTTACTCTCATCTTTTATTTATTTAAGTTTCAAGTTTCAAGTTAATATGTTATTCATATATGACCGTTCGCCAAAACAAACGCCTCAGGCATTTGTAAAAACAATGGAAAAATGAGAAATTTGTGAAGCGATAAAATATTTTGTTTGAAATGTTTTAACTTTACCGGAAATAAAAAATTTGATGAGAAAATCTCAAAAATATTTTATCACTGCATGAATCCAATGTTTTCATTATTGTTACCAAATGCTTGAGCATTCACTTTGGCGAGTCATACCATTTGTATTAGTCATACAAATACTAAATAAACATATTGAAACTTTAAATTGAAACTAATAAAAAATAAGATCGTGAAACACTTAATTATTAAAGTATTGAACTTATTTGCGTGAAACCCGCAAATAGTGAAAAACTTTTTTTTAAACAGCCTCCGTATGATTATCATCTATATGTATATATAAAATTTATAATATCAAAAAACATTTCTTTTATAATAATATCAAAAATACAACAATACAAATCTCCTGTTTAGGATTTACTAAAACATACACCCCAAGGACATCACGACAGAATGTCTTTGCAGTTAGCATTAACGCAACTCGAGAGTTTAGCTGAAATGTTGAATGAGAGAAAACGAGAGACAGAACAATTTCAAGCATTCAAAGAAATGCTGCGACATGTTTCCGGAAAGTTATCGCATCGACCGCTCTCTTCAGCGTCACGTTATCTTATTAGAGAAGATAACGTCACGCAGCTGGTACGACCGCATTAATCATTATTTTAAAATATGTGCTCTAGATAGTTTTTATATACTTAAAAAAAAAACAACAATGAAAATAATGAAAGTAACATTTTTTTTAGGAATTCAATCAAAACGGCATGATAACAAAATCCAAAAGGAGAAGATTGTTGTTATTAAACGATTTAGTAGTGTGCGTTTCCGTTACTCCGAGATCCACGGAAGATTTTTCAGGAAACGAACGACTAACATTAAAATGGACATATCCAGTATCGGACATTGAAGTGTGTAAAATAGAAAAAATATACTTGCTTAAAAAATATACTTGCGCAAAACACTTGGACAAAGGATTGTTTCTTTTTTTTTCTTTCAAATATTAATCAATTTGTTATAAAAATGAATTGACGAAGTATTTCTTATAAAGATATATGATGAATAAAATTTGTTTTAGATTCAAGACACCAGCACTTCTCCAACTTTAAGTCGTTTACTCACTGCTGGTTTGAACAAAGGCGGTAGTTTAAAGTCCGACAAGAGCGGAGAATGTGGACAGGCGACTGATGCGGACAATCTCTGTGTGGAAATGAGTGATCTTATGCACGATTACGAAGTGATGTCTAGGATAAGTGACTTGGTGGCTCAGTTGAAAGGCAGATACGAGGTAAGAACAAGTTGAAATAGATATAATTACTGCACTGAAATATTTATTGTATGTTCTCGAAGCAAATAACATGAAAATTAAGTAATTAATTGACTTGTATTTTTGAATCTAAAGGGAATGACACTGCAGACCACTAAGCAGATTCTGCAGTCGATACAAATGTCGATACAGCAAAAAGACGAAGACATGATATGGGTTGATAGTTGCTGCCTTCAACTAGTCACAAAACAGGGTCAAATGTATACGTTTCAAACGGAAAATCCATTAGTGAAGAAGGATTGGATAACCGAGCTTAGATTGGCACAATTGGCTCTGGATCCCAATAATTCTCCGTCTTGGGAAGTACCTGAACAAGAGCAGAGACCGTCCACGAAAATGCCGCTCTTCGTCAGTTCACAGGCTGTATATCACTCGCAACATCAAACCGAAGTGAGTTAAATAATCTTTACGTATGTTAAGTTTTATTTATATGCACACAAACAGTTTTGTGTTAAATTTGCATGTTACAACTTCATCACCTGTACACACACAGGTACGTTGCGGCTGTTATTATTCCATCGAAAATTCACGTTCTACACGGCGACGCGGTAGGAGTCACAATTACTTGTGGATATGCACGGGAGACGGCGTGTCCAGCCACGTGACAGTATACGGCCAATCGACGACAGCTTCGGCGACCTGTTTGAAACGTATAACCACTTTTGATCTAGTGGAAACGAAAGTGAGCGCGATCGAATTTGTTAAAGGGATCTCGAGCGATCTCGCCACGCTCGCCAGCGATATCGTGTGGATGGGCACGGATTCACGGAAGATCATTATTTACGCCGCGACGGAACCGGAGAAGGAAGAAGAGATCGGCAGTTATTCAGTTCCCGGACCTGTAATAGAGATCAAGTATCATTATGACAATGTTTTCGTAGCTCTGGGTACAGGTGTGTTGCTCTTGTTCAGGCGACAGATCGACGGCACGTGGGGTTTCAAAGATCCCTCTGCCATATCGCTCGGTAACGATCCCGTTTCATGCTTAATGCCGATCAATACCTCGGTTTATGCCGCTTGCGGCAAGAAGGTGTGGGTACTTAACGCAACGTCGGGCGAGATCACCAAGAGTTTCAGCGCGCAACACGAACACGTCGGGAACGTAAAGCTCATGACTCATTCCGGAGTCGGTCTTTGGGTCGCTCTTAAGAACTCGAGCACGGTGTGTCTGTATCATACGGAAACGTTCAAACACTTACAAGACATCAATATAGCATCAAACGTGTTGCGCGTAACAAAGATGAATAATTCGCCCAATTCCGGAAGCTGCCTTGCCGTTAATAATCAAACGACAGTCACGGTCACGGCACTTTTGGCGTGCAAAGGTCTTCTGTGGGTCGGGACTAACGTAGGAATTAGTTTGACGATTCCACTTCCACGACTGGAAGGAGTTCCCATCATTAGCGGCCGCGTTAACATCTCGTATCACGCGCACTTTGGTCCGATCACTTTTTTACTGGCAATACAGAATACGAAGAACACGGTGTACTCCACGAAGGATCGCGTCAACGACGACGACAGTGTACAGCTGAGAACAAAGGACGTCGAACAGAGATCGCGAGATCGTGCGAGCTTAGATTCTTCCGTGTCGAGCAATATTGTAAAATTAAAGCAACAGCTGACGAGCAGTCCGGTGATGTTGAGAAGAAAACGAAGCAAGGAATATGAGTGTAGAGGATCGAAGACGCTTCCGAGAGGATTGGGCACTGGCTGTGGATTCTTGTCGAGCTCTATGTCGAGCTCGCAGAGTTCCGGCGAAAACTGCGACGTTTACGGACTCTACGGCGAGTTGATGTACGTGAAGGATTACGAGAACGAGAACAATTCGGGTATAGATCCTATTTACGAGACATTACGAAGAAGCGATCCGGAACTGGCGGCTATACCAAATAAAGTGAGCACTCTGGATCGCAGATTGAAGATGAAGATTACGCGACCCCGCTCGCTGGATCTCTCCAACTGGTCGGTGGACTCTCACGCCAGTTCTCTGTACACATCCTCTGGCTCGGAAGAAAATCTCTCTTTGAAAACAGGAAAATTGTCGCGTAACAGCAGCATAGCTAGTCGTAACGGTCCTTACGACCTCTCTGCGCATAATAATAGTAACAATAGTAGTGTAATGCAATCGACATTGGAAGCGACCAATCTCAAGACGAATGGTAAGAAAAATAACAAAGCGGTCCAGCAAACGGATCAGCCCAAGAGAACGGTGTTAACTCTGATGGGTGGACGCGGTTATATCAATTGGAGACAACTTCATGCACAATCCGGTGCTGATAAAAGTTCAAAGTCAACGTACGCCTTTAAAGAACCTAACAGTAATGACGCACATATTGTCTTATGGGAGATGAAGTTATGATATTTGATCACGTTAGGTCTGTTGTTGTACATGAACGTCAGTGCGAGAAGTAAAACTTCGAAGCTGATGTCCGACTGTATATTATTATAGTGTCAGAAAATAGGATCAAGAATAATGTTGTGAATGCTTTATATATAAAAAATTACTGGTAATTGTGAAAAACTATCTTCTAACTTCGGGACCCGAAAGAGACGGAGAGATGACAGATAGATATCTCGTTGAGATAACTATCGTTGTGAGATACGAACGAGTATCTCTTTTCTGTTAGATATGCGGTATATATTAACCATTGATTGTCTTCGAAACAATAAGAATGCGGTGCTAGAATGAAAATTCGATTACATACAAGTATATGTATTAGGATTTAAATATCTTTAACCCCCTCACAATTACCAGATCGTTTAACTTTATACACATTTTTTTCTTATTTTTAAATGAACAATTTTTTCTCTTTGTCAAAAGATGCAGACTGAAGTACATGCGAATTGTTGAAGCGCACGAGATTAATATGTACCAAAATACTGGGTAAACAGTTGCGTATCAGAAGTGAATGCTTCTCTATTGTATATGGAAACATATAGCAGTTGATTGACATTTTGACGCAATGTACGTATGTGTACAACGGATTCTCGTTACGATGTATCGTTTTCTGTAAGATACGTGTCTGTGTCGAGAAGATATTGTTCGAATCTCAAAAATGTTGAATTTAAATCTCCTTTCGATTTGAATCTCTCAATATATTACAAAAACATGTGATAAGTCGTGAAAAACATCCTATGAAAGCGCACGCACAAAAAAGAAAAACAAAAGACGGAATTAAGGTGAAAAAAATTCCTGTGTGTGAAAAACGTTTTGATTATTATAAGATTCATCTTACGAATGTTCGTTGCGGAAATATTCTCTGCTTAGCTGCATATATATTCACGCGCGCGACCGGTGAAAATTTATTTTTGTGTAAGTTTCAATACCGGGATGTGAATTTATGCGTTTATACATGAAATATTCACTAAAAACGCTGCAGATATGTTGTATTTATATTGGAAAATTTTTTATCATATTACGTTATGCAGCAATTTGCTTCATGACTGATATATGCATTATTATTTAAACATATAATACACATGGATTGCAGTAAAGATTGGTTCAAAGCATTTTTCAGAGATTATCCCGTTTTATATATTTTGTGCGCCGGTATGTACGCGGCAAATATTTTCCTTTTAAAATACGCACGTGCCTTAAATTTTTGTTTTAAACGGTAATTTTTCCGTCACTCTTTACGCGTCGATCGAACATTTAAACGTATCACTTTAGCGTAGCTGATTGTTATTATATTTAACGTTTTGAAACTATTAATTACCGATATAATTCGTGCCGACTTATATCGATTCAGTCTCATCGACCATATTGATGAAAAATACCGTTTTGATATTTAGTTTCTGAAAGGTTTCACGTGACATAAGACTATTTAATGTATCTGTTATAGTTTGCGTTATATACATATATATATATAAATCAGTTTCATGAAATTTATTCATCTTGTGTTTAATCACCGCGTGTTTCGCTGAAGAAATAAAGAAGTTGAAGCATTTATTCAAAACGTTCCACGCAGAAATCAAAGAATCATTCAAAATCTCATACTTCACTTGAATTTGTTGACCAAATATTATTTAAATTAAATGATCGATTATATAAAAAACTTTTATGATAGTAGCTAGAGTAAAAAAAATTTAAAAAAATAAAAATTTATAAATTTTTCTTGTCATTTAGAAAAAATTTTCTTTATAATAGTGTTCTTTATTACGTATTTTTGGCAAAAATAATGAAAATCGAGAGAATGTTTATAGTAGGAGTTGTAAATATATCTTGATGAAAGTTACAAAAGTTTATTCGCTTCGATACACAATATACAATATACAGTATATAAAATAAACGGAGAATGATATCTTATTTATATCATAAAACATTAAAATGTGGCTGTAATGCCTAATTTTGCTCTCTCTTGTGATAATTATTGAAGTTGTAGTTTCAGTGTTGTTTATTGAAAAAAATATATATGTATAAGTGATGCTATAAGCTTTCATGAGAAATGTGCTCATCGTTGTGCAGTTTTTCACGCCGATATGATTGAGATACCGGTCCTGTGTATGTGTGTATATTTATATATATATATATATACACATATACATATATATATATTTCGTAAAAATGTATGTATCATGAAAGCTGAGAATAGATATCTATATTTTGTACACTAATGTTGTTTAATAGTCCATATTTTTTTGTAATTTATACTCTTTAGCACGCGCGTTAGTTATTATACAACGAGAAACTACTTTATATTTATTACTTATATAACATGCTGTTGTGTATCATCGTTATAAATAGAGAGAATCTTGTTACTTTGCTGCCGAAGAGAGAGCAGTGACATAATATTGAAACTTTTCGTTTACATTGTAATATTTACATGGGTACATTAAAAACTATTTCAGATGAAATAACAAATTTTTTTATTTATTCATTTCCTCGCATTTTAAACACGTTTACTTGCATGCCGAATAAAAGTGATCTCAGCGAATGACGTATCTTCTCTACTATATATTAATAAATGATACAAAAAAATCCAAGCAAATATGTTATAATATCTAACATTATCTGTACAATGTTTCATACAACGTGTAATATCAACTGTCCTTCAGCACCTCTTTCAGAATAGAGCCCGTATTTCTAGCCGGAACAAAGTCTGGGAATGTTGGAAGAGCAACGTTGGACAATAATAACGTTGACTGCGCAGGCGACGGCTGTTGTTTGTTAATTCCCGCTCTCGACGTGGACTACAATTAAAAAACACGTAATGAAAGACAAATTGTCTTAAAATGACGAATAAAATTAATTTTAAATGACAGAATCATCTCGCAATTTAGTTAATGTTAATTACCGAGTTCACAATCGGTAAAGCTGGTAACTGAGGCTTTGGTTTAGACTCGCTTTCCAGAAATCTCACGAAGGCTGTCGACAAAGACGCCTCTTGATCCTGCAAAATACGATATTATGTTTATATAGATATATATCACTGATAAAACTCCGCAATTAAATAAATTATTATCGAATCTCAATAAATAGAAGATTTTTCGGCGTCAATTATTCGAGATGAGAACAAGATAAGTGAATTTATTCGCACCTTCGAAGAGCCATCTTTGTTCGCGCGTAATAATCGACTGTTTTGTCCTGCCCCATTATTGTTCAAACCAGTTTTATCTTTCTCCGACTCGGTAAAATCCAAAACATTGGCGAAAACTCTGAGAATCGAGGACTTGTCTGATGTGGTTGAAGATAAATAGCCCAAGAGAAGATTTTTTATGAGAGTTCTGTAAACATTATCCAGAAGAAAAAGAAAACAATTCAGGAGATAAATTTTTGAGATAATTTTCTATAGAAAAATGGCAAATTTTTAAAAATAGTTTTACGTACTTGTCAACTCTTCTCTCGTCATGTTCTATCGCCTCTTTCATTCGTTGATCAGCAGAATTCAGAGACGCTGTCAATTGCGCAACTAAAAACGAACCAATACACATTGATCAATAAATAAAAGATAATAAAGTGTTTTTTTAAACGAATAGTATAATAATTTGGAAGAAAAGTGAAAAAGAAGTTAACAAAAAAAAAAAAAAAAAAAACTAGAGAAGTAACAGGTAAATCCAAAGAACGACTTTCAATTCCGTATAGAGATTACTCGACACGTTGTTGAATATTTAAGTAGAAAAGAGTCAAAATTACAAAATTAATTTATTTTTATGTACACCACGTGCGCGCGCGGTCCATCGTTGCAAAGTTGATGAATTGGGTAGCTGGAAAAGACACAAGCGTAAGTATAACACAAGTACTGGTTGTCTCGATATTCACACCAGTACCTGATGCAATACTCGCGCCTGCGTCTCAATTGCTCATGCTCTGCATTCTCTTCGTGCATGCCGTTCTACAAAAAAACTAAGGTTGCGCGCATGCCACTAGAATTAAAGAAGCGTTTTTGTTTTGTTTTTTTTTTGGTTTTTTTTGTTTTTTTAGTAATGATCTTTGTACTCCAAAATTACGCAGATATTAGAATACGTTCGAACTTTCGCAAAGTTGGCGAGGAATGGCAATTTCCCGTAGAACATTATATATACATACATATCTCGCCGTCACTTTTTATCCTGTGTAAAAAAACTAATTTCTCAAAATTCGCAAAACTATGTGCAATATTTCACACAAAATGCCACGACATGCCAAATTAAATATGAACACAAATCGAATTAATATAAGTAAAATTAATTTCTTTCATGTGTGTGTAACACAATAGAATAATCTCTGACTAGTAGTCTAAAAGAAAAAAAAATTTTCATAATTTTTGACGAATTGTGGTAACGAGTGGGAAACCCCACGAGGTAATATGAGCTTTTCGTATTCACACACTCACAGTTACCGCATGAGATTACCCACGCAATCGCTACCAAATATTACGATCGTACATATATGTATATTGTACTTCGCGTTACGTACACATTTACATTTTTATACATATGTGGAGCGTATGAACTAATATCGCATAATACAAGGAGTGCCTCATTATAATAGCCACGCCTATACGTATATATGATCGTAACTTAATTTTAAGATATAATATAGAGAAAAATTCTGATAAAAAGTAATTTATTATATTATTCGACGTTTCGTCACTTCCCACGTATAATCCCGTAACTTCAAAACGCAAATTTTAGAGGAGAGCAATTTAAAAGTTTAAAATTTCAAATGTTTCTCTTAATTAAGAGATTCTTTCGGTTTTAAATTGTTATCTTATCTAAATTATATTTTTTTAAAATATATGGTGACCATAAAGAACACGACTTTCTAAGTGTCACTGTGCAATAAACTGAAAATCCCGTATGCGACACTTATGTAATTATACGTAGGGAGTTACAATTTGTTCTCGAAGATTATCGATCGAAGGATCCGAAACTTATACCGCGTTCAATTTGAGGAAATAAATCGAAAGGACGAAAACTCGTCCGTTTCGCGCATCTCTTTTATCAGAAAGTCTCCCCGCTCCACACCCATGTGGCTGTCAGCAAATATCCCGCCAATCCCGCACTCTATCCTCTTTTTGCCCTACTTTTTTCTCCTATGAGCGGTAAAATTCTCTTCTCAAATTGAACGTGGTATATATTAAGTGGCAATTATTTTGGGACAATCCTGTTTCTCGTCATAATTAGCGTACAAAATTTCAACAATTTTGTGCAATTTGTACGTGTATCGATAATACTTTTTTTTTATACCTTATCAATATATTATCTTGCATACGCTTTTTTTAGGGAAAAAGAATAGTGACGAAATTATGCAAGAAAAAAAATAAAATAAATGTATAAATAAATAATCGTATATCTTATAATACAAAAAATGTTAATACAAAAGTAATATCTCTATTACATGCAAGATAATAATGTGTTTTGTTCAAATGGAATATTAAACAAGGATGTGAAGTTTTATTTACGTCTACAATCGCTGTTACTATAAAGTAATTCAATTATACAGTATACTAATTACTTATTAGATAAATAAAAACAAATAAGACACATCGATCGATCAATCAAATCAAACGAAAATAGAAATGAGCATATACTTGCTTAGTTATGATATCATATATAAAAAGAAAGCGTAAACATTTATGATTACTTTTGAGTTCTTGCATGTTTATTTCGTTAGAAAATTATCAAAGAAGGGCGGGGGGAGAGGGGGGAAACAAGAAGTCGCATGTAGTAAAAGTGCAGAAACCAGCACCACAATTGGCAATTGCATGAACCAATCAATACGTGATTTGTGAGTGTGCAAAAGGCGATGATCCAGTTCGTAGCCAGATACCAGCAAGAATCCTGGGCTACTGTCACAATCCCAGAATTACCAGCTGATATTTGAATACATTACCGGATTGTATGTACGTGTTTGCTTTCGCAGATTAGTCACAGTACCTGAACGCATCGAGGTAATTCGAGGCTTCAAAACAAATTCGTGCTTGTTTCGCGATCGCTGTTTTATTTGTAATATTTTCAATGCGTTATGTTAAATGACGTTCTCCGGTGCTGAGTCGCGCGTGTGGCGTATATCATTGCGTGTAGCATAGGCTTTTTGTTATTTACACAGACGTATATATATATATATATATATGTAGATAAAAAATATAGGTAATATAATTCGCAACTTTTGAGAATTATCATCTTGTTAGAAAATACGAAAAACATAGCAGTTTTTACACATAACAACTTAATTTTGAATGTTACACATTATGAATCATATAATTTTTCTCATAAAAAATATGCCCTAACAGTATAAATTCGGATGTTGTACTCACAAAAGAAATATTGCCTAAAATTTATACAAACTTGCGTATATGTGTTCAATTTTCTTTTTGTTATTAAGACATGCGCGCTCCTCAATGAAAAAAGCTGTCGTAAAAACAATTCTTACTTAGCATATTCTATCGAATCGCGCCGAGATTTTTTTATCAAATTTTATTTTATGCTGTATCAAAATAATTAAACTAAATTTACATAGAACACACATAACTGAGTTTTATCGGCTTAATAGCAATGTGTTAAAATAAAAGCAGAAATATATATATATATATAAAGGAACGCATGGTCGGATTTCTATATGAGGGTAAAAAAAAAACTTGTACTCAACATGATGCGATTTTATCTAAAAAAAACATTAATCATGCCATAAACAAAGAACAAGATGCAGGCAAAAAATGCTAAAAAAAAATGACACGCGAGGCTTGGAAATAAGAGTTTACCTTCCTCGTTGAGTCGCTCAATCTGCGCGTCTTTCTTCTCAAGTTGTTCGCTCAGTCTGGAGGCGGCTTGCAAATATTCTTTAGATTCGTGTAATTGTTGCTGCAAACACACAGTTTTTGTAAGAAAATCTTCAAAAAACGCGTTAAGAGAAACAAAAGAAAAAGAACAGAGAGAGAGAGAGAGGTATTAATCAAACATATCGAGAACAAAACGAATCAAACCTTAAGATTCGAGATTTCATTCAACAGATCATCGTGCTTCTTGTACGATTCATTGAGCTGAGATCGAATCCTCTCCGTGGACGACATGATGTCGCGTTCTTTATCTGCAAGTTTTGGAGCACGTTATCAATATCGTACATCAAGATAGGGTATATAAATAATTATTACGTTGTGTGATAAAAAAAAAAAAAGAAAAAAACTTACACAGGTTCGACTACTTTCGCTCACCTTGCTGAAACTGTTCCAAAACTATTTGCAAATTAGTCAAAGACGCGGACTGCAGTAAAATGGTATCTTCCGCGGCGAATAATTTCGATTGTATCTGATCTCTCTGCTGAGTAATTAGCGCTACTTGATGCTGCAACGTTTCCACCTGCTGATTCGCCCTGATATTCGCCGATGTGAAAGCAGTCGAGTTATTCTTTATTTTTTCTTCGGCTTGCAACAATCTCGCCTCCAACTCTTCGCGATTCTTTTCGGCGATCAAAGCTTCCTCCGTGTAACTCGACTCCACCTCGACCAAATGCGTCCTCAGTCTTTCCAGTTCCTTAGCGGAATTGGTTTCTTTATTTTGACTCTCGGTGAGTTGATTTTGCAATATTCTGTTGTTAGACTGTTCCAGCATCAAAGCGGCTTCGAGCGCGTCGCACTTTTTCGTCAAAGTGTCGATTTCTTTGTTCTGCTTGGAATGATCGATCGCTTGATCAGCCTCGGCGCGATCGTAGTTCCTTGCCGCTAGTTCGAATTCTAATTTTTCAATTTGAAGATTTTGCTCGGAAACGCGTTCAACCAGTTGTTTAATTTCACTCTGATGCTGCACAATCTCGTTATTCTTAACGGAAACAAGTTGTTCGAGTCGAGTTTTTTCGTTCTGAAGCGAGATAAATACATTCGAAGTCTGTGCGATAACGTTGTTCGCGTGCGTGATTCCGGCCTGCAGAACGTTAATTTCTTCATCTTTTTTTCGAACGAGCTCTGAGAGATCCTCAATGGTAACCTTGCCCATTTCAGCGGACTCCATGTGGCTCTCATCGGCGATTTGCAATTGTTTTTGCAAGTGAACAATCTCGGCTTTCAATGTTTCGTTATCTGCTCTCAAGACTTTTTTTTCCAGTTTCTCGTCGTCCGCGTTTGATTTAACCGCACTTTGATTATTATCGTTAGATAATATATTTGTCGTCGTATTTAAATCGCGTTTCTCAACATCTTTCTCAAGATGTTTAACGAGGTCGCTCGTTCCGACTAACGTGTCGTCGCAACCAGTTGAAAGTTCTTCCGTCTCATTTTTCGTAGTTTTATCTGTGTTTGCGGAAGATATATCCGCGAAGTCTTCTCTAAGTTCGGATAACTGTATATCTTTTTTAAACAGTTCTATCGCATTCTCCTTTTCTGTTTCGAATCGGTCGGAATGCATCTTCAATAAGCGATATTTGTTCTCCAGTTTTGTGCAGTGTTCCTGCGTCTCGCGCAACTTCTCCATCAACCGAGCCGTCTCTTCCTTGTATAACAACGTCTCCTTCATCGAGTCCTCGTGTTCCTGTTGGAGCAACGACATTTCCGTGTTTAACAACTCTATCTTATCCAAGGATTCATCGTGCGTGGCGGTTAATTGCTCCGACAGAGATATATTTTCTTTAATGAACCTGTCATTATCCTGACTCAATTTTGTTATTTGCAATTGTTTCGCGTCGAGCGTAGTTTGCAGCACATCTAGTTCTTTTTCTTTGTGCAAAATATCGTTCTCCAAATCGAACTTTTCGCGATTGATCGTATCGAGCTGTCGCTGCAAATTGTTTAAATAATCATCCTTCTTTTGAGTCTCTTGCAGAATGTTGTGCAATTGCGTGTCCAAATATTCGTTTCTTTGCGACAGATCTTTATTCTCTTCCGTCAGTTTGTTTACAGCATCCTGCAGAGTCGCGAGATTATTCTGCAAGACTTCTGTTTTGGCAAGCGACAAGTTCAACTCTTGCTTTAGAATTTCGTGATCGAGTTTCAGTTGTTCTATCGACACCGTATTCTCATTCGAGCGTTTATCTCGCTCCAACGATACAGATCGATCTTCGCGTTGCTCTGCGGTCTCGTCATTTGTATCTTCTCTCAACAAGTTATTCGTCAAAGATATTTCTTTTCTTTGAGTAGCTAGCAAAGTTGAATTTGTCTCTCGTATCGTTTCGTTTTCAGCTGAGAGATGTTTTACTTGTTCCCGCAAGGTTTCAACATCAATTTCCAGAGAAGCCACTCGCTCCTCGCTCGCTTCGGGAATAGAAGGCAGATTCGATTTTAGAGCTTGATTTTCCAACAGCAGCGAATCGATGTGTGACTGCAGTTCCTCGCATTCCATATGCAAGCTATCCTTTATCTCTTCGCTTTCCTTCAAATCTCTAGTGAGTTCGGTCACTTTTCTCTCGAGAACGTCTAATTTCCATCTGGCATCCACATATTGCTTGGCAACCACTTCGAACAAGTTCGAATCTCCCGTTTCGACGGTGTTTATCGTGTAATTTTTCAAAATTGCCTTAACTTTCTGAGCAACATCGTCGAAGACGTTTGTTTCCGATATCGCTCCGTCTTCTCGAGAAGGAACTATCATTTGAGTATATTTGTCTGATCTATCTACATCATCCGTTTGAACGAATTGACAACTTAATTCTACGCGAGCATTTTTGTTGCGTTTCAATTCGTCGTTAAGTTCAATTATTATTTTCTGAGCTTCGTTGTAATCCAGCGAAAGTTGTTCGTACGCATTTTGCAGCGAGCGATGTTTTTTGTTAATTTCCTCTTTTAGCGACAATAGTTTCTCTACAAGTTACACAAGTTGGAAATTGATATATATCTTTATATAAGTAAAATGAGACGACAACACGCGCTCGACAAGCGGATCGTTAAAACGGACATACAAAGATAAATTGTTTACTTACCGACTGACTGCGAGTGTTCCTCGTCTAATTTTTCCATAGCGTCCGAAAGATCCTTATTCTCAGTCTCGAGTTCTTCTATTCTCCTTTGCAACGTCTTTTCTTTTTCGGTCAAAAATTCTCCGTCACTCGACTTGCTCTGTTGTTGCGAGTCAAAGTGATTTTTCGAAGCTAGCAAACGATCGTATTCGAAATCATCAACTTTTCCGAGTTCCTCGTAAGATTTTTCGTGATTTTTTAATTTTTCGCGTGTCTCGCTCTCCATTTGCAAAGCTTTTATCAGCGCTCCGCTGACTAAATCAAATTTCTCGCGTGAATTCAATTCCGATATTACCGAACGAAAGTCATTGATAAGACTGGCTTCATCCAGTTGGATATGTTTGGCATTGCGTTCTGCTTCTCGAGTCTATAGGAAAATATACAACATATACCGCCACTAAATATAATAACATAATATTTTGTTTTTCAATTTTGTACTTAAATTTTAAACAATGTATAGCTAAATTTTGTTTTACAAAAATAGAAAAATAATTCAATCTCGAGATAATAAAAAAAAAAAAAAAACTCAAAAAATCATAACGCGATTGCGAGAAGAAAATTTCAAAACAATTTGTTTTTCTAAAAAAATCATTCTCGTTCAATATCAGAGTGAAGTACTTTTTTTTTCTTTACACGATAATATGTATTTAATTCCGAAGGCACATTTTTTTCTTTCTTTAGTGACGTAACTGTATGTTTTATTTATGTCTTGTTCTCAGACGAAAGGAAATCACATTCTTTCTGATTCTATTTTCAAGTTTTCCTTGTTCGCAGAAAGAAATTGTGTAACAGCGCGAAATAGCTAGAATTATACGATCGAATAGTACAAAATTGACGAGAGCTTGTTTACCTTTTCTTCCATCTGTATTATACGATTCATCATGTCTTGTTTTGCCCGTACAATTTCAGCCTTTTGATGTCCATCGGGAATATCGTCCTTCATAGTCGTGTTGTTCACCTGTATCAATTCATTTTTTTCCAACATTTTATCGCGCCGCGTTATAACACAGACGCCACGCCGTTCGTTAAACAATTATTAAGCGTTACCTTTTGAGTGCGCTTCAACTCGCATTCTAATTCGCGCACCTTCATGGTGGCTTGTGCCAGCTGTTCCTGTAACTGACGCACGTGGAACTGATTCCTCGCGTTTCGATTATTGACTGACGGATCCCAAAAGACTCCACCGTCGGTATCATCGAGATGATTTGCATCTTTCTGTAACAAACAAAAAAAAATATTATAATAATATATTCACACACACGCAACACCTATTTTTTCTCGACGCTTTGAAATTCGAACAGTCTGAAAAGAAGCTGCTCTTTTCGAGTGAATTTTTTTGAAAGTCAATTCGTAGGTCATTTGCCTAATGTAGGTTAGATGTGTGTGTGTGTGTGTGTGTGTGGACGATGATAAAGTTTGTATGTAGATATATAATAAATTATATAAATTTGACAATAGAAAAAGAACTCGGGACAATTGAATTCCTATGTGTCGGAATAGACTCTCGATTTCTTTTGAAATGGATTCGTGAAACGAAACACGTGCGAAACATTTTCTCCTCATCGCGCAGATGCGTCACTGATACGGAAATCTTTTCAAGGGAGAAAAACGATGTCGAAATGCTAATCGACACATAGGTGTTATGCATACGACCCTGCGGCTTGCTCGGACGTGATCTCCGCGCGATAATACATCGCCGTACACCGGCATACTTTTATTCTCTGATATCCCGTGTCAATCGAGAAAAAGTAGTGGAAAAAAACATGAGGCGACAAAAGGATAAAGGTGAATAGAGATGACAATTTTGAGCGAGTTGAAAATGACGAATTTCTAAATCTTTTTGCGTGTCACCTATTGACATATTAGTTTTTTTTTTTTTTTTAAATATTAACTATTTTAGATTAAATCGTGCAATGGAAATGTGTGTTTCTCGTACAACAAATCTTGTATAGATTTTTTTAATTAAGCGTCACAAATAAAATTATTTTTAAAGATGTTTTTTTTTTGTTTTTATTAAAGTTCTGTTTTATATGAAAAGTTATGCATTTTACAGACATCATCAATCTCAAAGAAGGTGCTCGAGTGAAAAACTCGAGATACTCTATTTTTTCTAACCGTGTATTACATATAAGTTGTCTAATAAAAACTCCAAATCTTCCGCACCGATTTAATAAAATATATTAAAATTACTGTAAGCGCGTACACATTATCCTTGAAAATCTATTTAATTTGTATTATACATAAGCAATTTTTTTCTGATACTTTACACACAAATCGATATGCGCAGCGCATCGGAGACATGCGTTTCGTGGTCCAAAGAGGCGAGTTGAAGTGGGACGATCCTAATGAATATGAAAGGAGGTTTCGTTGGGTCAGGTCAAGGAATAATGCGTCGTTTGACTTGCATCCAGTCTCACGACAAAAAAAAAAAAAAAAATAAAATAAAAAAAAATAAAAAAAATAAAAAAAAAAAAATAAAAAAAAGAGCCTTTTCTCCGCGGCGATCTTTTATTTTTGTTCGTTTTACACATTTTGACATATTAAAAGAGACGAGTGTCTGGCATAATGTATGTCCGGTCGATGCAACACGGCTTGCGACATTTACAAAATGTTGAGTATGAAAAAAATAAAGCAGATGTCACGCCAGTTTTTCGTGTCGACTTACGCATATCGATGCGATATTATCCAATAGCATCGCGGAAACGTCGGTCGACATATTTTATTACCTGATATATATTTATGATAAAGTCGCGCGCGAATCGCGCATTCGATCACAATGTGAACAAATCGACGTGAAAAAAATGTCTGCATTTGCGAACTGAATTTCTATGAAAAAGAAAAGTCATAAAACTGTCAATTGAATTATTCAACTGACAAATTAATCGAAAGAATTAAATATATTAGGTTGGTTTACATAAGAAGATTTGAGATAAAAACTTTACTTACACGCGATAAACTTTCCTTGACATGTTCGTAACGATAAAAAAAAATATAAATAAAATTTTCCAAACCTTTCAACTATTTATACACATTTAACACGCAAATATTATATTTTTCAAATCCGTTTTTTTTTCTTTTCTAACGCACTACCTATATTTATACGATAAATATTAGTGTCACATTCTATGTATAGTTACAGCGCGTCGGGCGCATCACGCAGATAACATAATCCTGAGATACTAAGCGTGAGAAAGGAAGTTACTATCAATCGCACTATGTGTAAACGTGAGTTATCGTAATCTCGCAGACAAATCAACGCTGGGTTCATATTATCGGCTTCGTTATAATTTATAATCCGCAAGAGAGAAAAAGTTGAAAAAAAATATATATATTTTCTTTAATTTTACACATATATACATATTATTGAATAGATTTTTATAGGAAGTAAGTCAATTTATATAGAGAAAAAAATTGCATTTTTAATCGCGCTATTATGTGCTACGTACATACAAACGCTACGGTGTTTATTAATAGCTAGTGTCAATTCAGTACGCAGATGTTGTATCCTGCATGGCTCTCTACAAACTGTAATGAAATTATTACGAGCTACACATAACGTGTGACAAACACATGCTTTTCTTTTAGTCGCGATGGCTCACGGCGTTCTTCTCGGCTATCTGTGCGTTTCGAATTTTGCGCAAAAAGTTATAAAAAACGAGAAACGCGCGTGTATCTCTTTCGAACGAGCGAAGTTGCACATTATGTAAGCGGAACGGCAAATAGATGAAGACAGAAATTGTTCTGTGACCAACCATGACCGATTTAAATTTTTCTTATGCAATTTTAAGCGCGCAAGTAAAACAAAGAAATCGAAAAAAATTTCAAAATTTAACGAACGTTTAATTTTTCTCCCTAAAATTCCACGATGTATTACAAACGTGTTTTCTCTTCTTTTTTTTTCAAATATAAAAGACACAAAAAAATTGTTGGTATGTGCGAAGCAATTCGTGGTAGGTGGTTTCTTTCGCTTCAGCGGTAAACGGCGTCGCGCTACTTGGCGCACCGCACGCATTTTTGCTGATAATGAAAGAATATCGCTTACAGCATTTCTATGTCCCCGCGAACGTTATGAAACACAGTCCGCTTACGCGAGTTTCAGGTTAACACAGGCTGCTCTAATAGCGTGGCAGGCATATTGTACCTCCGCGTCAGTAGGAACATAATAATGTCCACGATGCCAGTGACGTAACCAAGTGGCCAACGACGAGCCGTGCGCGCACAGACGAAGCCTCTCCTCGCTCACACACGCGATGTGTCGAGTACACCGCGAACGCCCGTGGTTCAGGGTTCAACAAATAGTCCCGATATATAACACACGGCAGTTGCGTCAGGCGTGTTTCCACATGTCCGCCTACTTTTTCACTTATATATTCTACTACTCTCTGTACCAATCAGACACAAAAAAACAAAAAAAAAAAAAACAAGAAAGACACGACTATAGGTTTCCTCTGCACGCGGTATCTAAGTAGAACGCAAACTTGCCGCGGAGACAAGAGGAATAAGAGAAAAAACAAGAAGTGCATCGTGTAAACTCGACGTACTCGTCGGCGAATACTTTAATTTTTTCAATTCGGCGAGTCGCAGAAAAACGAAAATTTAAGTCGAACTAAATGGCGTCGCATTACTCTTTGTAATGCGACGTTTTTATTCAACGAATGAGAACCGCAGGTTACTATTTCCGGCTTTACCCCGCATGACCTTTGCATTGTCGAATATCCTGTGTCAAGTAACGCTCCGGTCATGGATATTTCATCGCCGGTCGCTACTTCGCAACAGTAAAGACGCGATAAACACAACGACAACATTACGAGAGCTCAGCAATAATTCGTTGATTGCGATTGACTGAATCAGTTTCGGTCAAGCGTTATCTGTTTGTTTGTATTTTTTTTATCTTTTCGCTACGCGAATACCTCACCTCGAAATAATATTAAAACGTATGTGTATACGTAATAAATCGGGACGCGGTGAGAATCATCGCGCGGACTCTAATGAAACGTATTCATCTAAAGAACGATGCATGAAGAAGAGGACATTATCAACGAACGTCGCGAATAACACACCGTCTCTGATGTAGATACTCAGAAGTTAACGCTCAGCGCGTTCTTCGAGGTGAGAAGTCGTCATCGGAGACGGTGGACTCAGCACGTCACCGATGTAATGGTGAAAAACAAAGAAAAAAAAAATAGACATAGAAACTACGCCTCGCGCGCAACATCTCTTGAGTTTCGCATTAGACGTTCTTGATCTTTGATCGCAATACGTATGTAAAAGAGAACCAAGTCTTTCTTTTTGCGAATTAATTTAATAAGTTTTACTATGCCGCTATTGTATGTTGTTATTAGCGCGATGTTATACAACGTCTGCTTCAGACTTGGAAACGAGTTCTTGTCAGAATTTTTTGATTTCCCGTAATTAAAACAGGAGTAAACTTAGAAACGAAAAAAAATTATTGCATAAGAGTAGTCTAGTATTCTCAAGTATTTCTATACAAATACAAAAAAAAGAAATTTAAAGGTCACTTGTTAAAATTTAATTTTAAAAGATATCGAAAAAAGAAAAAATTTATATCCGTAAAACGTTCATTATTGTTCTGTTTGATTTGTATATTAAACGCATCCGTTAGAACAAGATTCAAAGGCTTATGTTTATTAATGCACAGCGACAATATTCGAAAGTTCTCGAAACGTAGAATGCATATTCTTACATCGCCATTGTATAGTTGTGAGGACGATGAATAAGCTATAATATATAACGCGTTATAATACTTTTTATAAATGTCCACTAGTTGCTGCCTCTGACTTCAAACGCGGAATATACGCGTCGAAGTTGCCTTTAAATCGAAGAGGCGTTTTAATTTAATTTAAATTTTTTTGTTATGACATATATAAAAAAAATTTTATATTTTATATCGGACGTTCATCGCTTGTGTGTTAAAGCTTACTTGGCAAAAGTCTTTTAATTGTTATCTCGTCATTTGCCTAGCAATATCTTAACATGTTAAGCAGAAAAAAAAAGTACACATTTACATAGTATATGCTGCATACGAAATAAAATAGGCATGTTTTCTTTAAAAGCGAGCAAACTTAAACCGAGGTAGAGTTAATCCGAGATTACATCGTAATACTTTGTCATAAATGTTCTTCTTTGTTGAGAGATTCGTTGATGATGAGTCATTTATATTGCATCGAATGCTCGATATACACATGTACGTATAA